TCAATGTTCTTTTCTGCATTTATTTTGCCATTAATCACAAAAATAAACAGAAAAATAGTGAAAATTTTCATTCTAAAGTTTTGGACTTGGACGTAAATAAGTAAACGGTTCGTTGGTTAATGAATGATTTTATTTTGCCCGGTGCTTTTATAGTTAAAAACAGGTAATACAAGAATGTAAAAAAATTGTAAATAAGGCTTATTAAGCTTTTAAATTGTTTGTTACTGACAAAGGTTGAGGGCTAATGACAGTTTTAATTTTTTTTATTCTAATCATACAATAAAAAAGATTAAAACTGTCATTAGCCCTCAACCTTTTATCAAAAAAGACTGTTAAAATATAAAATGGTACTACATATTTGTAGTACAATACTAGTAGGACGATAAAGATACTATTTAAATTTACAAACACCCGAAAACGCAATCAGTCAATAATGAATAAAACTCTTATTTAGAAGTATGAGTAGATTTGTTCTCACATAGTACTCGTATAAGACGCGATTTGTAGTTACTGTGATAGGCAGGATCTACAGGTGTGTCAGAACTCGCGCCCCAGAGAAAAATTTCAAGAGAGATAAGATACCAGTACCTAACATGGAAAAAATGTTTAAAAAATTTTATTTGCCAAAAAAWTTTTACGCATATTTCTTGATATTTGACATTTTTTATGTCTACTTAATGACACCGATGATTTTGTATATGTTTTTTTTATAACAATTTAGTAAAGGTACACAAATTTTGCCACTAACAGCCACAAATAACATTAAACAGAGTTACAATTTAGGATACATCTTCCTTGTTTCCTCTTCTAATAGCCAGTAGCAAAAAAACTAGACAAATTATTTTTCCAACAGAAATAAATAGAGCCAAAGTGCAACATTTAAACTCTCATAACTTCGAAATTTTTTTCATGTTTCTAGTATCGTACCTTACCATTTTTCTCTGGGGCGCGAGTTCTGGCGCAGCCTTTTTTTAATTTAAATCAACTTTTCTTATGTCAAAACTGTGGCTTTATGCTGATTTTTAAATTATATTAAAGAATTACGGCCAATTTCTTGAGTTTTTTAATTCAACTCGTGCAAAAAATAGTATTACACCACTCGAGGAATTGCTATTGTTTTTTTGATGCTTCATAGCCCTTGGGCCTCGCCACCTCAGGAATAACCGTGCATTTCCCTCCGTTTGTCTATAACATAGGTACTATTGTTGTAATTTTGAAAAATGAGGGAGGTAATTGGTTTTTTCCTTTCTGAAATTAGGATGGAATACCATACTTTCTGTAAGGGTCGTAGAAAAAAAAATTGTACATAGTTGGGGAAATTCTCTTAAATACAAAAATCTGTTAGAGCAGTGTTTGAATTTATAGAGAGGGCAGAGAAGTATGCATTATGCTGTTATCCCAAGGATTTTACTCCAATAGAACGAACCGGATAGGCATTCGTATTAGGAAATCTACACGTTAAAAGTGATTTACCGCTAAATTGTGCGTGAAACGCCAGATCGGATCAACAGCGGCCGCATGGAAGGATTCAATATTTTCACACGCTCAATTAAAATGCAGAGAGAGGTTTACACAAAAAAATCAGTTTTAAACGGATAGAGTTAGTCCATTTTTATGCTTAAACATTTTTTATAACTTACTTTATTTTGGGTGTGATGAGTTAGTTTAACATTGACGGGAAATTAGAGAAATCTTGCATTTAAAACTAGTCAGTTTTTTACTCAGTGAGATTTATCCGTACACAAACTACTATCTGGGTCATTTTGACCATTTATTATCGAACAAAGAATCTCCTGTGATGTTCTTTGCGATAAAATACGAGCAAATTATGACCCTTGCAAGCTTTATGCAACATGCTTTCGTGAGCAGCGTCTAAAAATCGCGCGCAACCTAGAAATTAAAAAATTATATATATTTTCGAATTAAAATCAGATATCGATGGCAAGATCACAGTAAATCTCGGTAATGGCACGACTTTTTTTTTGAAAAAATCGACTTTATTGTTCCAGATGGTCGCAGCGATATCGCCTACATTTTCGTAAAAGTCTCGATAATTTGCTTTAAAGGGGAGGCGTACTTTGCAATGATGGGTTAGTCAATAAATTTTTTCGGCGGTAACGCCAACCAGACCATGATAAAAAGTTTATGGCCGGGCTTGGCCGTAACTGCACTCACTAAATCTTTCGGGGATATTGTTGGAGACCTTTTTATCATGTACATCTTCATATGAATGAGGAACAGTCGTTAATAACAGGGCAATTCGGACGCAAATAACGTTAACGAGATGTAATCTCGCTGGATTTCGGGCTATTGGACCACGATAAATCAGCCGTGATAAGCGATCGATTTTGACCTTGAAATTTCATTTACTTGCAATTTTTTAAACATTTTTCTTTAATGTTATTTAATTAATTAATTAAAACAAAGTTATAGAAAAAAGGCATTTGTTTGTATGCAATGTAAATACAATTCTTTCTTGAAATTGTTTCTATCTTGAAAATGCAGCTCGTCTCGTGCATTTTTTCGTAGGGTTTTTCTTGGTATAATAATGTGCTTGATCGAGTCTGCCGCACGCCTTTGGGTTATAAATAACCCTCTTATAATGTTTAAAACTATTTAAATCCTCTTGATTTCGTAAGTTCATGGAAGATCACGAATCGAGTGAAAGTAATTGAAACTGTGGAGATTCACGGCGGTAAGAACTCCCAATCTCCCTAATCCTTTACAAGCCGGGTATCAGAATAGCCCGGTGACAAATAGCTTCAATGAGATTGATACCGGGGGTTATCAAGCCGCTGTCTTATCAATCGTTTTCTCTCTCTATTCTGCATAAATCCCCATTGCAAAAAAAATTAATCCTGTGTTGGAGGCAGTTAACGAATCAATCACCGCCGTTTAAAGCATTCAGGGATGATCAGGTGACACTCGTCCGTGTATATCAGTCTCCACATCAGCACATCAGCTAGTTTGTAAGGGTGAGGGGTGGTTATCGGGGAGCCATTTATCATCCCTTTCGGGTCCAGGAGCGCTTTGTGTCCTGGCCAAGGACGAATCGAGTAAGGAAGCAAACAGCGGATAGTTCGTTAACCCGAACTGGAGCGTCTTATTCGCGGGTTGTGGTAGAGCCGTCGGCCCCATCTGCACCCCTAATAGCCTTATTAATGCACAGGGCGTGATCTATTTACACCAAAATGCCGAAAATTTGCACCGGGTCAAGGACGACCTCTTGTCTAAATTTAAAAACATTTCCAAAAATCCAAGTTTTGTAGTTGAGAATATTTTCACGAACTTTGAAGCAATTGACAGAGATTTACGTTTATTTACTTGTGGATTGTTGACTTGAAGTGGTTATAAATCCGAACCACAATGAGACGGAGCGACCATCTAGGTAAACATTGGTCGCATACTCTATTACAATAAGATGCTTTAAATTCTCTGATGGACTTTTATTGATACATAAATCGTGAGCTTTGTATATAAATTTTGCTAAGAGTATCAACGCTTCACCAATAAAATACATATGTAAATAAATAGTGGGTAGTTTGTTCCAAAATATTTTTTATTTTTTTTAAACTGTTGTTTTGGACTTATTTTACTAATATTGGAGAAAAAAGTATAATCTTAATGTCATTAATACTCGATTTTTTCAAGCGAGTGCCCCTAAAGATCGAAAAATATTTATATGTTCTTTGGTAGTTTTTGGCATAGGATTCCCAAAAATTGCTTGAATTTACGACTGAAAGGAAAATGACGTCGTTTGTCAAATCGACTAGAAAAAAGATAATAACGCCATTAGAAACACCCAAAATGATGTTTTATATCATTTCTGCCCCCCCTTGAGCCAATAAATTGAAATTAAATCAACTCGGATAACGACACGTCACCAAAAAACAACATCAATAATATTTGAAAGTGGTGATCTTGTTGCTTAGGAAGAGTAATCCAATCAGTGGGGACAAGGTTGAGACTATTTTCGTTTAATTTAAATTTAATTGTATTACCAGCGCGAAGACCCGTTTTATTAAAATCGATTAAAGTGCAGAATTTCTCATGGGAGAGTTTTGCAATTTTTATTAGTCAGAGGACAACCAAATTAGCTAATCGTCAAGATTTATGTTCGGACAACACATATTCGGAGATATTACAAAACAATGACTTAAGTAGTGCGAGAAAATTTATGGAGAATTTTCTAAACTAATTTACAGTTTTTAAGATTGTGTTGGTGTTTCTTAATTTAAATGGGTATTTTGGGAATCGTAAAAAATTGAACAAATTTTGCTCTTGTGTGCTTCAGTGAATAAAGTCTGAGAACGAAAATAAAAGAATGGAATTAAATGAAACGTGAGAATGAAGTAACGCAATAAAATAAATCCAAAAGGAGGGTTGCGCGCTTTTAAAAAAATACAAAAGCAGCTGCGATACTCGACGTAATCAGAAAGTCGCTCAATATACACCAATTAATTAAATCTTTTGACAATTCTTGAATTTATAATAGCCCGAATGAAATTTAATTAAACGCTAAATAAAATAATTCAATTGTGGCATTATTACAGGTTGCGTTCTGAATTAAAACCTGATTCAAACGTCGAGAATTTATCTTCTCGTGAATGAATGAAACGAGCATAATGTGATTAAGTCCCAACTAGGCCATTAGTTTTGTTTGAGAAAGAGAAAGTGTGGACATTGAATGATTTTGCGGGAAAAATTCCAAAACTTATGTTGCGGTAATTGACGATAATTTGAAGGATTTCAATTGTCGGATTAAAGTCGCAAACTTTGTGTAATCCAAAGGCCGTAAGAAGTGGGCTGAGTAAACGTCTCAATTTATTATGTAAATACGGCCATAAATCCCTGTATTATCGCACGGAATTCCTCATAGGACAATTAACCGGCAAAGCGTGATCGGAATGGCTATATGCGACCCCTCAAATCACTTAAATCACAAGAATAGTTCTTATACAACTAATCAACCAATTTAACTGAGTTTTTATTTGTTTCAGAGATCTGACGAGCAACAATATTACATCCCTCAACGAAACCTCGCTGTCTCACTACACCCACATCGAAGAATTGTAAGTAAAAATTTGTTGGTATTTTATTGATGTTGGGGCCACTTACCCATCCTCTGGACATAACTAAGTCCCATTACCAACAAGCACCCTCGTTTGATCTGAATTCGTTTCCGGAAGCGGCGAATATTTTTATGACCTGGCCTTGAAAATTGTCTCAATTTTCCTCCCGGGAATTACTATTGTTATGGAAATATTACTTTCCGTACATAAAATCTGAATGTGGAATTTCGGCAAAGTCACAAAGCTGTATATCACATTGAATATATACACAAAGAACCGACAATAACTGAATCCTGTTCGATAATTCTGTTTTCAAGTGTTACAACAACACTCGTCGTAACAAATTTTATTTGTGAAGGTTTTCCGATAACAGGTCTAGCAATACACTGTAACGTTTATTCAATTGAGTGGTTTGTATGCACACAGTATTGCCAACAACGACGTAATTTTATATTTACTAAATAGAAAATTGGATTGAAAAGAGAATGGAATTTTCTAGCGCCGGGAAAATGGATAATTTCCTACCAGAATAATAACGCAATTATTTTGATAACCTTTCATATTTCTGTGTTAATTTTAACGCTGGGTACAGAATGTGCAAGCAGCTTTTTCCACCGCGTTCTCTATTATTTCATAAATCTTATATTCCAGGCATAATGGCTTCCTGTACTATTTGTCTTGTAAATGAATGGTTTCGATGTTTACATACACAATTATATGTGTTTCCGTGCCATCTGTCATCTGATTATTAAATAATGTGTGAAATATGGGATCTGCATAATTTACAACAATAAAAAACAGAAGCATTGTTTTTTTGTATAATCAGTTGTTGAAAAAATACATTTTTGCATTTGAAATTACCAAGCCACCCTTTTCTTGTAGCGATAATTTTCGACGTCTTCAACAGCAGCGTAAACTATCTATCGGATCAATTAGAAACTTCCTGCAAACAAAAATCGTTAAAAGTGTTTCTGGATTGATTTAAGAGCCCTTTTCTTATTAACTTTGCTCCACTTTACCTAAATCTGAGTCAATACGACCTGAACGAAACTTATTTTATGTGTTTAGTTCGTTGCCGATCGAATTTTCTCTCCGAATTAGTTTACGAATTTTTGGTGGAGGCGCCGGGTTCAAACCAGTGGTGCATCATTTCTTTATAGTTTTCCTAATCAGAACTGTAAATATTTTCGGTTTTCGACTTTTTTCAATTTAGTAACAGTCTAGTGTGATAAGCTTTCCAAATAATTAATGAAATCATCTAAAGCTCGCGTCGGCAAAAAGTCAAAGCTCGTTTAGTGAGTCATCAGTTTTTTTATTTTTAGACCGTCTTCGTAACTTTAAGTAATTACTAATTCAGCGAAAAAGATGATTGATGGGGGGCTATTGTTCAGAAGGAAAGAGGCTGCATTTACTCAACTTAATTTTACAGCCGTCTGTTGAATGATACAAAAATTGTGTTTTTTTCCGGCTCCTTGAGTCGTTAAATTTAACGCGTTTGGGACAAGCAAACATTTTTAATCGAAAATAAACGCAAAGTTTGCGAAATTGTTGATTGGTAATTAACAGAAACATCAAGTTTTATAGAAGCGATCAAGTTTGAGTGTTTTCTGTTTGCTTGTGCCTAAAACAAAGCGTAACCCGTCTCTTTACCCCATTATTTGTCCAGACACTAGAAAAACAAAATTATTAAAACCAGCGACGCAACTTTGGGAAACCTGAATTTGCCAATTTTCACTAGTATTGCTTTTGCTGCAAAATGACAATTTTTTACAGAAAAGCCTTGAAAATTCAGATTTCTGAATTTCTTACTGTGTTTTTTGAATTATTGTAACTGTTGAAAAAGAACAAAACCGTGCAAATATTTTAAGCAAAATTACTTCTTGTTTTCGCGAGTAAATAGACCTATGTTAAGTTGCTAGAAGTTAACAATTAAACGCTGTTGTTTCCAATTTGTTTGAGAGCTTTTGTTTCTCGTTGTGCGCAATAAATCATAGTTGGAGAAAAATGATCTCAACGTGAGTCGAAAATCGTCAGAAATGTCCAGGATCGGACTGATTGCGGTCATTAATTGAAAAAAGCATCAAGTGTTTATCTCTGCAATAAGTGAATTGGTCTAGACAGTGGATATGTTTTTTGTCTAGTGGCGAAAATTCCAAAGAGATAAAGCATCCGAAGGTGAATATAGCGAGTTAATTAAATGGGACTTTCTTGTAGATGAAATTATGTGAGGTGTGGATGCAATTCCGCCGAGATTAGAGCGCTTGTAAATTTTGCATAATATTGAGCTTAGTGCACAAAACTTGTACAAATCGGCTGATTTGCATTATTACAAAAATCCCGGAGAATAATTAGAAATATTTCAGTGAAAGCTCTCGGTTTTAATTAAAAACAAAGCTGGGATGTCCGAGCCGCTTTTTTCGTTTCGCTTTGCCGTGATTATGTCGTTTTATTCTTGAGGGAAGGTTATTTTTGGGCCATTTAGTGATTCCCTATCTGAGAATCGTCGAGAAGACAATAAAATCGTAACTAAACAAGTCGAAGAATCTAAACGCTGAAGGGATATATGAGGTAAATTTCCTTGCCGTCTCTAGGATTACCAAGACGCTTCCTGTCATTCTCAGCTCTAATGTCGTCTTGTTTTAACTCCCGGATCTATTCAGGTTAGGGTTGAGCAGTATTTAGATGTCTGGGACACGATTGTTGCGAATTATTTACACTAGATTTAATAAAGAAGGAATGCCACGTCGTTATTGTGGAAATTATCGCAAATTTGCGCTCTTTACGAGCCACTTTCAGGCTTAAAATAAAGATATCGTAGAGGCCTAAGTTAAAAGGTTTTGAACACGCATATACTTTTGTTTGAACCTGTGTAGTCTCCTCACAGGGAAAAATTCTTCCGGATTATTTCCGGGTAATAACTCATTTGTAATTTACGATGTTCATTGCGTAGAAATTGTGTGAAATTTTCATTTTCCTCCCGTATATGCATTTTAATTTACTTTTTCTATTTGCATTAAATTAATTTGTGGTGCAATTTGTTATATTCCAAATTTATGCCCGTCTCGTTTTGCGTTTTCATCTCTGTATTGTTAGGTATAGTTTCATTGCTTTTGGAGAGTAGAGGATTAAAAATTTGAATTTAAATTTACTTTTTGCATTTTTAACTAAACCGCAAATGATTTTGTGGTGTCAGCGGCTGTGTTTAACAATTCACAAGCTTTTGCTTTAGGCTGGAAAAAGTACGCCAGCTTTGTGTGAGTCACAAAAAAATATGTTAAATTTTTAATTACACACAAAATTCTTTCGAATAAAGATTATTGAGTAATTTATTCTAAAATAATGCGTATCAAATAAAACACAGTAAGCGGTAGTAAAATTATGGAATATTCTTATTTATTAAAACTGAAAATATTTTGTTTTGACAAAAAAGCTCGTACAGGTCAATTTTCTTAAAAATTCTGAACTTGATTTAGTGTTTTGTTGATATTATTTTACTTTTGGATGTTTTTTTCGAAAACTTTACATAATACTAATATTTTGATGTTGGTATTATCGAATCGGCTAAAAAAAAGGTGATTCAAAAACCAAAAAGTGTATAAATTTAAATCAAGTTGAAATTTTTTTATTTTTTAAAATGAAAATTGACTTGTTCGCTCAGTTTTGCCAAAACAAAATATTTTCAGTTTTAATAAGATTATTCCATAATTTTGTCGCTCACTGTATACAGGTGCGCTAGAACTCGCGCCCCAGAAAAAAATTCCATGTAAGGTAAGATACCAGGAACATCCTGTCAATCCTGTCTATAAAAATTTCAAAGTTATGAGAGTTTAAATTTTGCACTTTTCACTTTTTATTTTTGTTGGAAAAATAATTTTTCAAGTTTTTTTGTTACAGGCTATTAGAAGAAGAAACAAGAAAGCTGTTTCTAAATTGTAACTCTGTTTATGGCTTTTATTGTCAAAATTTTTATACCTTTACTAAATAATTAAAAAAAAAACATATACACTTGGTTGCAAAAAAATCGGAAAATGTCAAAACATAAAAATGTCAGATTTTTATATTTATCCATAGTTTGAACGTGGCTTAATTCTAAAAAGTTATGTTAGAATCTGTAGTACTCAATCGTATCTTATCTTACTTGAAATTTTTCTCCGGGCGCGAGTTCTGACACACCCTGCATAACAAAACAACTAACAAATTGATGAATTTTGTACTTTGAATCATTGTTTTTATTTTTAACTTACTAATTTAATAACATCAATTATGTATTAATTTTTATTGTTTTAGAGATTTTTTCATTATCTATTACTAAAACGTGATAGCTTGAACGCTCTCACACCCGTGTAAAACGTTAATTTAACCATCTTTGTCACGCGTTAGCAATTGTTTATTCCTGGAGATTGTTAGAAAATTTTAACGCGCTAAAAGTAGAAAACGGCGAAAGGTAGAGATTGAGTAAAAGTAAAAAACAATAATTCATTCATAATTCTTCAAAGTAGTAGTGTTTTATAGAGAAAAACAGGCCTAAAAGTGCATAAATTTTAAGTTTAATAAAAAACCTTAACCAAGAGTGCGTTGCATTTCAATCAGTCTGACACTTCTGACAGTTAGTGACATTTTGCGTCAATGTGCCTCAGCCAAAAATGATAGAAAAACATCGCTTTGTAAAGCAGATAATTTAACTAAAATAAGAATAATAAAAAACAGAAACATTAAAACAATTTAAAAGTTTTTTTGCAATATTAATACAATATAGTATTTATTTTGTTTAGATACAGTTTGTCATTAGTTAATTTAAAAGCAAACCAAAAACAAAAAATATCAGAATAAGATAATTTGCGCAGGCAGAACAAATTTGATGACAAAACTGATTTGAAAGAAAGTTTAAAAAAAGATAAAGTGACGTTAAAGACATTTGAGATAGAATTAAAAAAAATAAGAAAGAGAAGTTGAAAAATTGGAAACAAGGATGTTAAAAACGAGTAAAAAGAAAGCACAACATAAGAAAGAATAAAAATATGCAAAAAGGAATATTGGACTTGAATGTAGGACAGAAATATTGGAGAAAGAAGAAAATTAAGAAAAAGTATTAAAAATGGATGAAAGTGGTCAAAAAAATCGAAAAAACAGAAAACCTAAAAGTTATTTAATATAACTGAACAGGAAGACTAAAAGAAACAAGAAAATAGTAAACAAAAAAACAGAAAAATACAAAAGTGTAATGTGAAAATATGAGGAAACATTCCATTAAACAGGAACAACAAAAAGAAATCTAGGGTTCTGAAATTTTATATCTAAAGTTTGTTTTTTTTTTTTTAAATGGTAATTACCAAGTCAAAATTTTGGTGAAAAAATTGGTAGCAGCTTGTTTTCATAGTCACAAATTTTGTTTGCTCTTTGTTTTTGTCCCTAGAAATTTTGTTAAAAAATTATGGTTATGAGTTCAAATTGAGATGTTGTCAAAATTTTGACTTTTATAAATCTTGTGTGCCCGTTTGCTCTTTGAAAACACTATAATTGAATACCTGAGGACAGACATCATTACCTAAGTTCTAAAGACAGAATTCAGTGCTAATAATTTTGATAGAAGCATACCGCAAGTAAGTACAGTGTTGTGGATAAAAATGAGGATCTTAAAAACTTTGAAGAAAAAGGATGTATATACAGAAAAAGTTATTTAGCAAAAGATACAAGCAAGGTTTATGAAGATCGCCAATAAATTTTGTGAAATTTATTGAAATGAGCTCAAACTTGATGCATTTTATAAATTCTTCCTCAGCTTTAGTTTCAAAATTGTTACTTTTACAACTCGTTCCTCAAAAACGATGCACAAGACACTGTTCTTTCCGAGGTTCTTCCTCATTCATGTTTATTTTGTATTCTTGTCAATTTCTTGCTGAAAATTAAGAATGTCTAGCAAACCTGCATTACAAATTGCGTCTACATTTTAACGGGCCCTTTTTCTAACTTCCTGCTTGCAACCTATTGGTTTCCAAATTTCTAAAAACTGTTACCAGTACCAAATTTGTTTCTTTTTTCGTGTTTCACCTCTAAATTTTCTTAGACGATTTTTTGTGTTGACGTTTAATGACATTGTTTTCAAATTAATCTAAAAAACCGGAGCTGCAACTTCTTTTATTAAAATTACCATGAATGAATTTATTAATGGTGCCAACGTTAAAACTGTTTGGCATTTCCATTTAAAAAAAGAACAGACTTTAATTACTCTTACAATTGTAAGAGTTAAAATTTATTTGAAATTTATTTAGAAAGAAATCTATTATTTATTATCTGTCTAGAATTAAGTTTTATCTCAAACATTGTTATTCTTGAAAGCTTCCGCAACATCTAATAAATTGAGAAGGATTAGCCAAGGCCTGACAGAGGCAGTTTCAGTAAACATATCGATGGTAGAATTTATCAAAACATTCAAAATACCCATTTAAATTAAGGTCTTTGGGTCAAAAAATAGTAATAATTTTTTTTTTTAATTGTAGGCGTTTAGGACATATTATTATTAGGAGTATTACGTGTACTATATACGAGTCAAGAACTTAGATATAAAGCAAAAATTTTGATCATCAAATGAAAGATTTATGAAACCAGTTATGAGATAATTTTTTAAATGTGGCACATTCGAGGAAATGATTAAATCAAGAATATGAACATTTGGTATTTTAGGTGTTTATTTTTCCGTGTACGTAAATAAGCAATTTTCCTTTCCCTAAGCACTTGTATCCGTCAATACGACTTAATCGGATGATAAGTAAATAGTCAATAAAAATAAAATGTTTACGAGCTTTCCCAACTGAAATTGATCGGGCGAGTGATATCGAACCGATTTATCATTCAGCACGCTACAGATTTCGGCAAATTCAAATTTAGACACATTTATAAAACCGTCGACACCTCTTTTCCAATGAAAACATTAATTTTTCACGGCTGTGTTACAAAGGGGTGGTCTACGCAAACACTCACGATTTTTTTTTCTGTTTCAGGACACTCTCCGAGAACAAACTCGAGTCCATCCACCCGAAATCGTTCGCAAAGAACGTTCAGTTAAAGAGATTGTAAGTATTTACAGGGGCAAAGATCCGACGTAAATCTGGGACGTCCTGTGTCCCATTTACGTGTTCGCTACACGATAAGGCTTCGTTTTTAACCCCTTCAACGTGAGCCAGAGCCATCTAGATGCGCTTGGCTGGAAGCCATTTCGTTTATATGATCCAATAGACTCCTTATTTATTGTGATAAGCCGCGCAAAGTGGCTTCTGTATGAACCTTTGATTTATGCACGATCTGCACAAGAACCAGACTGCTGTTTGTCCGCAGGAATCAGTAGGCGGGGTTTCTAAAGCTCGACGAGCTTTGCGTTATGTGCATACGACACGTGTTATTACGCGCGGTTTTTGCCCAAAAGCTCGCCTTTTGAGCTATTTCTATAACTACCGTCAACAGAAAATAAAGCTATTATTAGCGAAACTGCGTCTCTCTTTTTTACTTTTCAATAAAATAGAACTATTTTTTATATGTACAACACCATCAGAATTTTTCAAACAGAAACTAAAAATACTCTACGACTGTGTAAATTTAATTTTTTAATTTTATTCTGTTAATGGTATGTTTTATGTTTTTATTTCATGAGCTTAAGATTAAGGATTGTAACCCGCTTTTAAACCTGCATTGTCAATACGGGAAAACTGTTTTATTATTAAAGTTGCATAATTCGGAAGAAATAAAAATTTTGCAAACAATCGTAAAACGAATTTATGTTAATATTTTCATGACACAGTTCTGCATTTCCGGCAAAATAAGTACGTTCCACTCATAAACAAACCAGTTTTGATGAAAAAATAAAAGTTGGTACATATTATGACGCCACAATAAAATATGCATAAAACGTTGGTGAGGAATTTTTTGCACGTGGAATATTTTTATTAAAGTTTTTTCTCCGTACCTCGAATAATCAAAATTTAGTTTTGTCATTATTGATTGCCCCAGAATTTCAAGTGTGTCTAGGTAACAATTTTACAGTTTGATCATTCCTGCAACCACCTCGACTCCTGCAATGCCACCTGTTGATTCCCCAACAAAATTTTTATTACCTCTTCTCTTTGCACTCCATTCTCGGCAGGTGAAATAACAAAATTCAGATAATCTTTGCTGAGTGAAAAATCTGTTTTATTTGTGGGTCCACCAGGAAAAACGTGATCGTAAATAAATTGCTTTTAATGCTTCGTAGGATTAATTTTTCGGAAAACGCTGATTAGAACTTGGAGATTTATAAAAGTGGTTTGTTTTTGCTAGATTTATTTAATTGTCGGCCTTCATAGTGCCTGATCCCGGGTCTGGTTTAATTTGCAAGTGAATACAATTAAAGGACCTGATAATGAATGGAAAGTGAACCCAAAAGCTGTCACCCTTACAATGAAAAATCTGGCTTTTACCTAACAAGCATAAATTCACTTTTATTGTTATTACATCCAAACAAATGAAAAGGCCGAGAATACACAGAAAGGGATGTATTTGGGGAAGGAAACGATATTATTTACAGCCACTTAGAAAAATTTGTTCAGTTTTTTTCTCCTCCTTTACGATGAAAATAAAAGTTCAAGTCTTTTGACTACGCCAAGATTATTTCCATTTATACGGGCGTTTATTTTATGACGTAATGTGTGATCAAAAAGGAATTACGACTAGCGATAGCCACCAGACAAAATTAATGGAAAATAAATACGAGTTTCCTCTTGCGGAAAAATCTAATATTTGGTTATTCGAATTTGTGACAGCATTTTTCTTTTGGGATTCGCTCGCCGGAAAAATTTGAAATAATGATGGCAATTTGGACGGTAAAAGCGCCAACTTGTCACCATAGCACAGCCTCAAGCCAATCAACCAAGTTTGTCCAAATTTGTCAATTTCGTAAAATCGCAAAAAATATTACTCCACAATAAGTTGTAGCAGAAGCGCATCGTACATTTCAAGTTACAGCTTTGTTATTGTGTTTATTTCAGTGGCATATTCTGCGGTATCCTGAGAAAAGTCGAAGATCTTCCGGTCGTCTGGATGGTGCAATAATTCCATATTACGTTGTGGATCACGTTTACAACGTGGAAATCGCAATAAAGTGTAAATAAAGCAGCAAAAGATAAAATCATAAATTCATAGGGAGGTCGTAAGGACAATGCACGTTGTGTGCACTCTTCTCCCCAACATGTATTACAAGTTGAACACGTTGAGGACGCGCTACCAATAAATATCATCCTCCTGTAATATGTTGACAATAAAACCGCTCTCGGATATATCACTAAATCATGTCCTATGTACCGGAGAGTAAAAAGCTTGCAAAACACTCATAAATATTAATTTGAAGTGGCGGAATTGGCTGCTTTGCAATATCTCCCTAGAACTGTTATTTGCGACAAGAAGTAGACACAAGCTTTCCATATGCAGCACCTGATGGAAATATCGGATGTTTTCAACAACATGGAATCGGAAAGCTTGAAATTATACTGAAAAAGGAATGACAAGTAATGCATTTTTCATGCGGCAAATGCAGATCTGTCAACAGTTTGCAAAAACTAATCTGCCTCAGCAGGGCTTTAAATTAAAAAAAAGTTATAACTATTACCTGACCTGGTTCATATTTATAAGGAAAACATCTCGTAATACGAGAAAGTACAGTTGTTTTTCAGTTTTTTATACTTTCTTAATTAGTTATAGTTAACAATTTTTTTGCTATACCTTTGTATTACAAGCTAAAATTTATTTCATAAACACAACTTTTGTTGTCATTACCACTAATAATAATTTATTCATTCATTATTCTTAATGATTCGATAATGTTGATGAAAAACAAATAATAACAAAAAGTGGCAACAATAAATACTAATGAAATGAAAATTCTCTCTTCTTGACCTGGGTTAACCGAAGCCCATTTAATTTAATTTGACCCGCCTAGACTGAAACTGACTTAAATTTATCAAACCCGTCTGAGAGAATCATTGACACTTCCAAGATAATTAAATTACGATTCAAGTACAATTAAGTCTGAAGGTGCAATAACAAATTTTTGCATGTGAAAATTGTGATTGAAGCTATCAAAAATCGAGACAAATCAAATCTCCAAGTTTGAAAGTGCTAACCCGTTGTTTTTTGGGAGCGTCTGTTGCTTGTTTTCGTGAAATAATCAGTGTTTGTGTTCGTTTCAGACTTTTGCAAGGGTGCACCCTCGCGGAAATCCCCGTGGACGCCCTCCGTCCCCTTAGCAAACTCCAAACTTTGTAAGTAAATTATTTTAATATCGGCCACGTCTGATAATTCCTGTTGGACTGTTTTTGAGATTGCTTCCAAAGTCCGGTTTAGATAAGCCTCGAGAAATATTGAATTTCAGGATAAACAAAGGGTGAATAGCGATGAGTTGGAACGTATAAAAAGGCCCACACGAGTGGCGCCGATGCACAGCTCGAGTTCCGGACTAGTCCGGCATATCATTGCGTGTCTTACATTTTATGACATCACAGGTCACCTTTAGTCATAAACGCCCTCAAGGGCCGTAAAAAAATACCGACTTGTCAAATTTTCGGCGACGAATGTTGCACTTGTTTCCGAAGAGTCGATTTTATCTTTAAGTCGGTTTCCACAAATGTTTGCTCGATTCAGTGTTTGTCCTTTTTCTGTTTACACTGCGATTCTGCGGATAGGACAAATAAAGGGTCTTTGCGGGAAACTGAAACGAATCGAATGGATATCATGTTTGTAATATAGTAAAAGGGCCAGAATTAATCAATCGGTCTTTGTCTACCACGATAAGTAAAAGATAATAAAACTCCGAGGTTCAGCGGACTTTGAAAAATACCGAATTTAAGGAATACACACGAATTTGCATAATACGGCGAGGAAAACTCCTAAAGCACAAACTGAAATTTTAAGGAAATTTGAGTGTTATGCATGGCTGTCTAGACATTTGTCATTGTGGTATACGAGTGTCGAATGTAGTTATGTCTTTTATTGCGTTTTTGGATCACTCAAGTGATTTTAAGAGAGTTTTTATTAGACTTTCCTAGACCCAAATTTAACTGTTTTTGAAATATTTAGACTTTTTTGAATTTTTTTAAATTTGCATCTTCCTCTCCATATATCAATAACTCTACCATTTTTAATTATTTTGAAATCGTATTTGGGCATTTGAAAAAGAAAGGTTAGATCCTTTCTTTCGTGTATTTATAATTGGAAAAATAATTAACAAACCTCCAAAATTTAAGGTTACGTTTGGGAAATTTAAAGTATCCATAACTAAATTTTTTGAAATTCAAGGCTTTCATTTTTCTTCACTAAATGAAAGATAGAAAGAATTCTGCATCGATCTCTATCAACAAAAAAAACCTAAGTTTTTTTTTACAATGGAAGAAATTCATTACTATCCATGGTAGGTTTCGCATAGTTTGCCATGGAAATTTTATATTTTATATTTTTATTTATTTCGAAAATACAAATTATTTTTTTAATCTAGTTTTTAATAACTTTAATATTCTATTTTTTTCTTAATTTTATGACAATCTATGCTAAAGTAGCTATTGCTAATGAATTTCTCACAATATCAAAAGAAGTTACTAAAACATACTTAGGTACTATAGGGAATGTTAATATAGATCGAAGCAGAACTAAATTCTCCTCCATTTAATGAAGAAAAAATTGGGGCGTTTTATTCAGAAAAACTGAGTATTTGAAGTTTGCTAAACCCTACATTTTCGCAGTTTGTTAATTATTTTTCCAATTATGAATAAACCAAAGGGAAGATCTAACCTTTCTCTCTCGTATACCCAAATACGGTTTCAACAAAATAAAAAATGGTAGAGTTATCGATTTTTGAATAGAAAAATTCAAATCCAATTTTTTTTTAAAGTCTGAATATTTCGAAAACGGTTAAACATATATATAGGGAAGGATAATGAAAACTCTCTGAAAGTCATTTGAGTTATCCGCAAATGCAATAAAAACATAGCTTCCTATTTAAAATAACGAAGTTGATATTCACTTCCGGTGTAACAGGAAGTACCACCATCTTGAAAATTTTTTTTTGGCAAAACCTAAAGGATTATGACTATAAACAAATTTTAGATAAATATCATTGTTAGAACTCCCAATACTTCTAATGTGATTAATTTTATTTATTAGTGACAGAGATAATGGGTTTTAACTGGGCCACTTTATATAGGCAATTCTTAGCTGAAAGCGGTGCTGATATACATTAAAGATAATGTGCTAACTTAGGGGCTAATTAAATTTTAAGTTTGGACTTATTACCCGAAAAGAGGCCCTGCGGAACACAATCGTCCTTCCGGTTGGGACGATCGTTTACTTAAACAACTCCATTAATGCTAATTTTAAAGCAAAGTGCCCGAATTTGTAACTAATCCGCTATAATTGTGCCCTTTATACCATTCATTAAATCGTTGCCTTTATGTTGGCGGCAGTTAAATATGAGTATGCAACCCAACAACACCACTCTGGCGGTGATCCAATTCTCACGTTATTTTTTAATCCTGATGGAAAATTTTAATCCGAAACAAATTTCCTACGATAACGTTTTTATTAAATTTGAAGTTATTTAAACGCCCACATAAGCATGTGGTTCCGCATCTGGCTAAAAGTTCTTAACTAAATTGGTCGCAATAAATCTTGAGTGTCAAAACTAAAGTGAGTTGCTCGAGTAAGAAATTAAATGCGGGATCATATCATTATAAATATGATTTAGAGAACGTTGAGATAATTTATTTGGGTTCTATCTCGGACTTGAAAGGAAAAGAAAAAGTAACACCGTTTACGATCCGAGCCATAAAAAGTTACTACTCCAATTAATTCTTTTTATGGCTAGTTACTCCTTCTGGTTGAACACTCTTATAGGTGGCATAATAGCACACGATCGTTATATAAAATAAAATTCTAGCGACGCCAGATTTAAAATCAATAAAATCCGCGACAAACTACCCTTTCGCTCTTGTTAAATTTAGTAATCGATTCTTTTAGAGCAAATTTTGTCCAGTCAGCGCCACAATAAGAATAAATAATGTTTGCCCTTATCCCAATCGATAGTCACCCTTGCCACAAATGGATAAAATATTCTTTCCTAGAGGAAGTGTTTGTTAGTTTTAGTCTCGTTTGTCTTTCGCATTCCTCTAACCTAGTGCCCGTCTTTTCTCGACGATCCTGATTTATAACGGATTTACCTCATACTCGGACGGAAACTGCGTGAAAACTTTTACTGAATACGCAAATTTAATATCGCAAAGTTACGAGTAGAAACATGGCCTCAAAGGCGCTTTTATTCTAATTTTTTTACACGTGGTATCGAATTATTATTTCTATCAACGTTTAATGAAAATAGAAAACCGGCTTATGATAACATCATCAAAGTAGCAGCTTACCTCTCTACGTTTTATAAATTAATTGTGAAACGCCTTCATTAGGTCAGAGTAAATGGTTTTAATATTTATTATCAACAAGTGCTAAATACAATTATTATTTGATAAGTTTTTGGAGTCGTTGAAAAACCAAACTCTCGTAAATTAAACCTCACAGTTTCACCATAATTGGAAAAAGTTTCTCAATAATTGTCATTAACTGTTGGATTAACTTCGAAAGCTCTTTTTCGATATCGAGCGATGTTAATGATAATCACTATTTTTATTATAGCAACATAGTTATTTTTATTTTATTGAGAAAAAGTCGGTAACTGATCATTATCTTTAATTATACCTAATTTAGCCGGGGATTTACCTTGCTCCAAAACATTATTTCAGGTTACGCTCCATTAATTTTGGTTTTATGAAAATAATGCATCCATTAATGTAAATATTGACATTAACAGCCACTTTTATGAAGACAACCAAAACAAAAATACGTTTTTTAATTAAATAATTTTTGTAATGTGGAACTGCACGTATGGGTCATAACAATTAAATTTATCGTCGTCGGTTTGCTTGTAGGTTGTTATCGGGTGTACCCTGCATTTTGATAGCGACATTATTTTATAACAGTGCTGCCAACTTTGTACTGAAATTAATAAAAGTTGGATGTACCTAATATCACTCAATTGAATTATTTCGTACCTATTTATTACCATTATCAACATAAGTCACGTTAGTTTCCTTACGGAAAGTGAAAATTCCCTGGAAAAGTTTTCTAATAACTTTCTCTCCATTGATCTGGGCGCTTTATACAATTCCGGATTCAATATCTGACATTGAAACTTTTTGCAAGTTTGACCACTGGAAATACATAACAAATGAGGGTATTCATAGGTTCATGCACGGGCTTTGAAGCAATTTTATCTCAGTCCAAACAGCACCCACACATGGAACAAAACAACTTCTTTTCGTTTTTCCATGTTTTCCCCGATCATTCCATTATTATCGATTTGTCTCTCTATATTACAAGTTATGTTATGTTATCAATAGGATGTAAATTGAATGAGTTTATCACAATTATCGCATTTCGAACATACATCGACATGCATTAAACTTGTTTAATATGCATCGAAAAACTAGTTGAACATTTTTAGGCCATTTGGCAAAATGGCAATAGATAATAGATACATGTTATACACACATTACTGCTTCCAGTTTCATTGAATTTCGAACGAGAAATGTTTGACTAGAATTTTTTCGTCGACTAAAGTCGTTTTCATTTATGTTTCAGGACTTTTTTTCATATTTTTCCATGTTTGTCTATTTTTTGCGGTCAGTTGTACGATATGATTCACTTTTTTCATCCACATTTACAGTTTATTAAAAACGCTTTTTGTTTTCTTAAAATTCCAAAGTGTGAGTACTTTAATAAACTGTGTCAATTTATCATCACTCATTTCGTGTTCGTGTCGAGTCTGTATCAAAGGTGCCTCAGCGGAAATGATTGAATGATAAATTGCGTTGGGTTTTGTCGCAGTGCTTTGTAAAAATGTTGATGATGTAGTGAGTATTGTTGGGTTAGGCATCTGGGCAATAACGAAATCTGGAAATTGGATGGAACCACTTTCCAGCAGGTTCCTTCACTGCGCAGCTTGCGTCTGGACGGCAACCGTCTGCGCGGTGTTCCTTCGGAGGCACTTTCCAGTCTCCCGCACCTTGAGGTCCTGTGAGTACCAGGACCAATCTGTGTTTTTTATCGACCAGGAAACACCAGCAGCTTCAACTACCACTTTGAGTCGAGATAATTTGCGCAATTATCATCGTTCAACTAATTGAATAAATTAATTGGCTGTCTGGGTTCTAATTATTGAAATTATCGCTAGTACACATTGAGAAAAAGTTTGATTGGCATGGGACTTAATCGAGCGATTAATGGCAAGGTGGTTGTTGGAGCATAAAGAGCAAGATTGACGACCACTTGGTACACTAATACCTACTCACCTGTAACTCTATTTACTGTATACTTTACGACATTTTACACTTATTTATGCGCTAATAAAACTAATAAACACTCTCATTAACACGTCATTAACTGTTTTGTACCGTAAATAAACGTCCTCAATTACCATAAAACCGATTATTGAGACACAATTGGAGATAATTGGCACTCGGATATAGCCCGAAAACAAAATTTTCATACCGAAAATTTGCACGTTTTAAATGGTTTATTTTCCAGGAACATTGGAAATAATCTCATCAACGCCCTCCCTCCAGCCGCTTTCCCAACGTTGGATAAACTCGTCGTATTGTGAGTATTTTATCGCAATTTGTTGTTTGTTTGCGGCCATACGATTCAAAATCGACTCTACACTAAAAAGAGCTTTTAAATATTACGACTTTCACAGTTTTATTCACTTTGTTTTTTATTGAGCCGTAAAGTGGGGTATTACGATGAAGTTACTGCGGGTTTTAAAATCTTTTTAAATCGGTCAATTGCGACAGAACTTCGTAATTGTTAAGGTAACGAGAAAAGCGCACTTTGTGCTTTTATTATTATACGGCGTTGGGGATTAAAAGTGGTTTTAAAATGTTGATTGCTTAAGTGTTACAGAACTGGTGTCAAGTGACTTAATTTACGAATTATTTATCTCTTGGTAAAAATATATACGTTGGTTTTAATCCACTCGCCTGAATTTTATTATATTTTTAAAAGTTTTTACCTTTACGACCTCTATATCTTGTAAAAATCTTTTTTTTTCTTCATTAATTCCATCACATGTTTATTTTCGATTTATCTGCAAAAATTTTGTTCCAACTCCTTTAAAAACAACCCAAATTAAAACCAAAAACCAGAATTCAGTAGTTCCAGAATTCAGTAGATATTCGTTTGCGGAAAATTTGAAGTCACATTTAATAATTCTTTTTCTAGAGCACATGTTAAACTATTTCTTTATCAACTCTTTTGAGTAGATAAAGTATAGTACTTTAACCGCAAGGGTAGATAAAGTAACACCTAAAAGCAAGGGTAGATAAAATGTTTTAACATATTTTATTCATTTAAGTTTACAAATGTTATCATCTACAAGGTGGAATAAAGCGTCTGATTTACACTCAAACGAGTTGAATACATTTTATTCTTCGAATTAGACTCAACAAGGCTTAAACTTGCTTTGAATCTGTTAAAAATAATCTCACGTTTCGTATTGAGAAATGCCAAAAATTGTATTTTTTTTTAATTTTATTTTTTCTCTTAAATTTTAAGTCCTGCTGTAGGAAAAAATGTTGTATTATATACGACGATAAAGATTGTTTATCTACTCGTGAACTTAACCTTTTCACTCGTAGATAAACAATCTCTTTATCGTCTTGTATAATAAATAACTATTATTTAATTTTGTAAGAATAAATGCATTGTTATGTACTTTTCACAATAAATAATAAAATTAGTCGACTTTTTTACTAACCTTACGTCAAGTTGCAGTCGATATAGTAAATTTTAATAATAATAATCATTATTAATTATTATATATTTAATAGAAAAGGCAAAAATAAAAATTTCTGTTTTGAAAAGAAATTTAATGTATATAAACAACTTTTGTAAAACAAACAAGAAAAATTTCGACTTTAACAAAGATATAAATATCCTTTTTTACAAAAAAATTGTGGTTGAAACAATTATTGATTTTAATAAAATTAAGAATAAAAAAACATATTCAGGAATGTTTGTTTTTAACTTTTTTCTTGATTTTTTCACCTTGGAACACGACTAAAAATTCATGTATGACAAAACAATTAATGTTTTTTTTTGTATATATTGTGAATTCAGTATCTATAAATAAAGATCGAATGAAAATAAAATAGAAACTACAACACCATGTGCACAATTTAGCATTCAAGGTAAATCAGTAATGCGTCATGCAATCTTAATTAATTCATCTAAAACTGAAACCAATTGGAATAGCTCAAACCCTCGAGAACTTATTTTTTATTTTAAGCAGTTTCGGGTTAATTCGGATTTAAATTAGTACAGAGAAGAGGCTCGTATTGCGACAATAAATCTGTTTGCTTGCAATTCTAGTGTAATACGAAATTCAAATAAATTGAGTAATGTTTTTATTAAACTACATAGAAAATTATCAGATAACGCAATTTATTACTCATTCGCATTTATAATTGCCACGGAAGAAGCTTCAAACTGTTTTTAAATATAGCCGACCGTTAATTAAACTTTACTTCAAAGCAACCGACAGATTTCCAATAATTTCTAGATCAAAGTATCTCCAATTCTATTGAACTATCCTCAGTGGCGTATCATAAACTTTAACTGGCATTTGTGACAAATGGAAGTTGCGTGTACGAGTGACACGAGTTAAAAATTGAAAGAGATTTTTTTCATCTAGTAAATTGTTTCGATATTTACTCTACACAAGACTAGACTTTAAAATATTGTAGCGCGTGTCTGAAAAACTGTTGGACACACATTTTATTAATTTCGTCTCAACGTTTCAGAATTTTTCGGGCATATTTTACGGCGGCAAATGGAAGTTTTGGCCTATATTTCCATTAAAACAGCAAGTCACAGTATAGCTATCTCGTGAAAGCATCGTGATTTACGATTTAACTTACAGTCAAAATTTGCACAGCTAAATCCCGAAAGTATGGGCTTTACCGCCTCCCCATCGATCTTTTGTAACTTTGATATTTAACTGTCACTAATCAGTGTTATTTTTCAGATTGATGAAACGTAACCAGATAAGTGAGATCGCAGAGGAAGCTTTTGCAAACTTGACGTCTCTCAAAGTCCTGTAAGTATCAAACATAATCAATAGTGGTGTAATCTCGTAACAAGAATGCTTTATCATCTCACTTAATAAAAGCCACTCGAGTTAAACTATCTCAATTTTGTATCAGATGGACCACCTGGTGGCTTCGTGGCGGTTTTAATTGTTAGCAATTGATTTTTATCGATATTTAGATTAGAGACTTGGGGCGAAATTGGCCGTTTTAACGATCACGCAGCTTTAACAGCTCGGATTATAAAGGAAAGGGAGCAACGAAAACGATTTAACGCTAGGGGCGGTTCGTTTAAAGAGGGAGATACCTACGCAATTTAGGGGAGAAGATGTAGGTGATGATACTCGAATTTTGCCAAAGATAAGTATCTGTGCCAATAAAAATTCAACCAAATTTGGGATGTGCGATAAAAATTTTACATTTTACGTTCGAAACGTGAGGGCAGTAGTGGGATTTGCTGTGAAGTTGTTTATACAAACTGGGTGTGTATGAAGAATGTTTAACTTTGAGTTTGCGGAAACTTTGTTGTCTTAATTAACAAAAAAATTGAAATTTCGTGGTCTTTTGCGTGTTAAGTCTATTTATTTATTAAATTACAACAAGAATTTATTAAATTATAATTATTTTTTATACCTGAGTCATATTTTTTTATAGATTTTGGGGCACTAAGTTCAGAAACAATATTTAAAAAAGTCCACCATGCCACGTTTAAGAAATATGTTATTAACAAAAATACTAAAACAACAAATTAAAAATGAGTTATTTTACTTTGTTTATACTTTCTTGGATCAGTTTCTGCTATAACAGTCCAACAGTAATCTCCTAACATATTTTTATCCCAAAACCTTTGTGCCGATCTTCGAAAACTCTTCTGATCTTGATGAAAACGCACACATCTATATAAGTTTTTAGAAAAGAAGTCTAAATGCTACTCAATGAAATGTATTTTAAGACCCATTTAGACCCATCTGGTGATAATCTTGCAATAATTCAGCAACAATTTGAGTTTTAACTGGGAGGCCTTCGTGCAGAAAGCAGGAAAACTATCAAATTTAACAAAAAACATGTTAAAAAAACTAACAATAATTTTTGTTTAATTAAAGGAAAATAAACATAAAAATAATAACACTAGGAGATTTTTCTAACAAGCATAATTTTTGGTACCAGTCTTAAAACACACCACCTGACTTATAATGGTAAAACAAAAAAAAAACTTTCAACACGTCACATTTTTGATTAATAATTTTTTTGATTTTTTTTTTTGATTTTTTTGATAAACGTTAACCTAGACAAATTATTATGGGAAATAAATTTACATTTCATCTTTTACTACTGATTTGAAATCGCAAATCAATTTATTTTCCGCTTAAGCAAATAAGAAAATGAATCATTTATGTATCTAAGACAAAATTACCTTAAAGTACTCGTAAGTGATGCAAAAAATCCGAGAAAAACCTCAAATCTGGAATAATGAAGAAACCTTAGGTGCCGAATGTTTCTAAAAGTATATTTTTCGATTCGATTTCTTTTTACAAAACTTAAGAACTGTAAAGTGATAAACAAGAGCATTTTCATCAAGGTATCAGTGCTATGGAAAAAAAGTATCAAGGTATGTATGAGATTCGACATAAAAGACAAAAAAGAAATTCTTAAAAATATTTCTTTATTAAATTTGTGTTCAATCTATTATCTAGTATTCCATTTTGTGTAGTTTAAAATTAGAAATGGTTTAATGCATTTTTTTAGTTCAGTCTATATCGTAAATATGAGTGATTACTTCGACCACTGTATGAAAATAAAAATAACAAAAAAAACCTTACGTGATGGAGAATTTTGGTGATAATTTTTAGATATTTTTATCCATGTTAGAAAAAAAAAAACTAAAAAATGTCGCCTAGTGTAATTTGCTTAAAAGTATATTACACAAGTTATTATTTGTAAACTAGTGTAATTATATTTGTGTATTGGGGCAACCTATTTTTAATAAACAATTATGAAAATCCTCCTCTAATTAGAAACTTATTCTTTCCAGAGAGCTCGACGACAATTTCCTAACCGAGATACCTGCAGCAGTCACGAAGCTCGCCAAACTGCAGGAACTGTAAGTTTTTCCCCATTTCATGTTCATTTAAACAGTTGAATATTGCGGTTTTCTGATTATCCCGGCCTGGACTACAGACTTTTCTCCGGAATTGGATTCGATCTAAAAATGTTAACTCAGTTATTTTCAGGTGAAGCGCTTCAATCGAGAAAGCCAAATTAAATTCTAATTAAAATGAATTAAGAGAGGCCGATCATTGAACTTGTAATTGTTGCAGATCGATATCTGGTAACCGCATCAAGTATATCCGTGGGGGATTATTGCAGAAGACACCCGCCTTGGCTCTCTTAGAGCTGAAAGGAAATCCTTTGACAGGAGTGGACGCCCACGCATTCTCTTTTCTGCCGCGACTTCGAAAGCTGCAAGTATTATATGTTACCTCATGTGCATACATTTCGCTTCGAATTAATACTCGAACGTTGTCTGCTTTTACGACTCGAAATTCAATTTCAAAAAGTGTCCTCGACGATTTTATGGGAGTTGCTACTTTAAGGAAGTTGTAAAGTCTTTGCTATTATACCGTCGTAAAATCATATCATGTCGCTGCTGGTAATTGGGGGGCGACGCTTTTATTATTTCCTTTAACCAGAACTTGATCCAGTTACTAATCTCCAAAACAAAAGATTTTTCCCCAAAAAAAACATGTAAATGTTTTTTCATTGTACGCTTTACTGGTTCATCCGTCTTCCCCTAGATCTGATGAGCTTTTTCGTGCCTCTTTGTGTTTGGCAGTGATTTGATTTATATCCTTCTTTGTTGGCAGGATTCTGTCTGAGGCAAGAGAGTTGTCGACGTTCCCTAACTTAAACGGCACAACGGCCTTAGAGATCCTAAGGTTGGATAGGGCAGGGATTTCTTCCGTCCCTTCCACATTGTGTACAACTTGTCCTAGACTCAAAAGCTTGTCAGTATATCACATTAAAGCCGAATTTCGATGTTAATTGTATCCTTTGCAGAGACCTCAAGTCAAACAAGCTTAAAACTATACCTGACCTCAACAACTGCAAAGAGATGAGAGTTCTGTAAGTGTTTTTTCCGCTTCCTGGACGACTTGTCCTCCTAAATAAATTGGTTCTTTTTCAGGGATTTGGCCAGCAACCACATCCGGTCGCTGGAAAACAGGCCATTTCGTGGCATGTACCAAATGCACGACCTACTCTTGGCTCACAATGAAATCCAATACATCCCACAAGACGCCTTCTACAATCTCTCCAGACTTCAAGTTTTGTAAGTGCGATCATTAAAAGCAACATAAGTGGAAAACCTAAAAATATGGAGACGTAACGAATTAGAAAAATCATTGTGTTAATTAAAAAAAAAATGTTTCTTTATATAAAAAGAAAAGATTGGATGAAAAGGAAAGAATAAAAAATAAATAAACAATGATAATGAAGAAAAACAATTACGATTTTTGCAACTACATAAATAAAGTTGACTAATTACATCATCACTGTTTTCTTTCTAAATGCTTTGTTGAAATATTTAACAATACTTTTCATATTCCGGAATGCGCCTTACAATTTTCGTTTACAACGTGTTATTGCAGGAATCTCGAAGATAATCAGATTTCCTTTATTCACCCGGATGCTTTTCTCCCGATTTCAAAAATCGAGGATTTGTAAGTGTTATTATCAGAATTTATGTAGGTTTATTTAAAGCCACTAATTTACAGAAATCTGGGCCAGAATGTTTTCCCCCATTTACCGTCGGCCGGTTTGGAACGACTCTTGCATTTGAAAACTTTCAATAATCCTAATTTGCGCGAATTTCCACCACCGGAGGAATTTCCACGCATCCAGACTTTGGTCTTGGCGTATGCTTATCACTGCTGTGCTTTTTTACCTCTGATTCCTTCAAATCCGCCCCCGAAAGCCAAAGATTTCATTGTTTTTCCCGACATTGAAGATATTGATATGAACATGTGGAACTCCAGCTTGAACGACTATTGGCCATCACAGCGTAAGATTTTAATTTTATCTCTCTGTCATTTTTCCATTTTTTTTTTTAGAAAATTTGAGTCACAAATTTGGTAAAAAATTTGAAACTATTTGGGAAAATCTCCGGTCTGATTTCACGTACCCTGGAAATTTTCCGTCCTATATGGAAGAATACGCCGAAGAAGAAGCTCAAAGGGTGGCAGGTGGTGATGGACCCCCTGGAAAAATCCAGTGTTTGCCTTTGCCAGGTCCTTTTTTGCCGTGTCAAGATTTATTCGATTGGTGGACTTTACGTTGTGGAGTTTGGATTGTTTTTCTTTGTGCGATGTTGGGAAATGGGACTGTGGTTTTTGTTTTGATTTTTTCCAGGGGCAAAATGGATGTTCCGAGATTTCTGGTCTGCAATTTGGCGGCCGCGGACTTTTTCATGGGCATTTATTTAGGTAAAAAACCATTATGCAAAAAATGAAAATGCAATTTTTGTTTGATTCCAGGTTTCTTAGCAGTGGTGGATGCCTCCACCCTCGGCGAGTTCCGGATGTACGCAATTCCTTGGCAAATGTCCGCCGGTTGTCAATTATCCGGCTTCTTGGGTGTGCTCAGTTCGGAACTGTCAGTCTACACTCTGGCCGTAATCACTCTCGAACGCAATTACGCCATCACTCACGCTATGCATCTGAACAAAAGGCTTTCTCTAAAACACGCCGGTTATATAATGATCTGCGGTTGGAGCTTCGCCATCGTCATGGGCCTCCTCCCCTTGTTCAGCGTCTCCGATTACCGCAAATTCGCCGTTTGTCTCCCTTTTGAAACCAAAGATGCAGCCAGCTTGACCTACGTCGTGTTCCTCATGTTCATCAACGGAGTCGCGTTTTTGATCCTGATGGGCTGCTATCTCAAAATGTATTGTGCGATTCGGGGCTCCCAAGCCTGGAACTCGAACGATTCGAGAATCGCGAAACGCATGGCGTTGTTAGTTTTCACGGATTTTTTGTGTTGGTCCCCTATTGCGTTTTTCTCACTGACGGCTGCTTTCGGTTTGCAGTTAATCTCCCTCGAACAAGCCAAAGTGTTCACTGTGTTTGTTTTACCGTTGAATTCGTGTTGCAACCCTTTCTTGTACGCAATTCTGACAAAACAGTTCAAAAAGGATTGTGTTATGATTTGTAAAGCGATTGAAGAAAGTCGGGTGACGAGAGGAATCGGTCGCTGTAGACACAGTTCTAACTTTAGTAATAGACAAACTCCGGCGAATACTAACAGTTTAGCGGATCGGTCATCACGTGAGAAACAGGACCACGTGCCCACGTGTACTTGTAATGTTAAGTTGCTAGGCGAGAGAAGTGCCCCTCCTCAAAGGACTGACCGAAAGACCAGAACCCGCGAGTGGCTTTTGAGTAAGGCTCGATGGTTGTTATGTGTGAGGCGACAGCCGAGGCACCGACCGAGGTCCGATCAATATACCTACCAAATCGCTGAAATCCAACAAAAGCAACACAAGAGGGCCTCTTCCGTCTCCTCCAGCGAGAATTTCAGTTCGAGTCGGTCCGACTCCTGGCGCCACAACCACCACTGCGGCATCCCGCTCCGACTATTGGACCCCAAACGGAGAGCTTCTTCATGGCTCGTGACCCGGAAAACTTCGCAAGACTCAAACTTGTCGAGTTCGAGGAACGATTCCTCCGGCTCTGCTACCACTGCTAGCACTAGTACTTGGCGGATGTCGCGCTCGAGCGCCTCGAGTGAGCCAAACAGGATTAGGGCTAAACCCAGACTGACAAGACAGAGTGCCATACAGGACGAGGGGGATTTACCGGGGTCCCCCGGAAGACTCACTGTGCGCTTCCTGACGACCATTCCGTCAGCTGCTGAGACTAGTATGCAGATGGAGGACGAGCAGCCGGCCATTTTGGTGAGTCCGTCCAAGGAGCGTGAAGGCCCTTTGTATGCCATTTTGCACTCGCAGCCGGTGACCCCCGCCAGGAGACAGAGTATTGTGACGCTGCACCCGCCGGAGACGATTCATAATTCTAGTCAGCCCAGTGAAGCAGGGCCTTCCAGATAATAATCATTAGTACCTAGGTTTACCAAAATGGGGCGCTCTGAGTTTTGATAGGACAATAGTGGAATTTTTTCAAGACTCGGAGCGTGTTGCTACCAAAATATACCTATTTTAGCTATAAATGTTTTGTATTTATTGATTTATACGTAAGATTAAGACAGAATGCGTGATATGTTTAGGTTAAGGCGGAATTAATAACAATAAGTGATAATTTATAACGCAAAAGTATATTATATAAATATAAAATGTTATTTACACAAAGACGTTCCATGTTAAATATAGGAAGTATGAAATTAAACTATTCCATACTGTTATTATATTATTACTACATTGTTGTATACAAATCTACCTCCTAATTTCATACAAAGACTTAATAAAATATACACTTAACTAAGTATCTACTAACTGCATTTTACATCAAGGACATCGAGAAATTAATTGGTGGCAATCCTCAAGCACACTCTGGACACTTAACATTAGAATTGCTAATATGGTTAAAAATATAGCTGCTCAATAAGTTTTTTCATTTCAGATGCATAAATTAATTACTTCACTCCTCAGTAATGATTTTTGAACTGTTAAGGAATATTTAATCAACCATATTTTATTAAAAAAGCAATGGTAAGTAAGAAACCCAAACCTGTTACTTTACAGCAATACATGTAAAATACTCCCAAAACGTAGTTCAGGACTGTTGTAATCTGACCTGTAGTTAAATAACGTTAAAAAACTCAAACGAATCGTTAATCAATCAATGTCTGAGCATTCTTCATACCTAAGTAAAAATAATCATGACCAAGGTGAACCGATTTGTAAAAGGGATTAATGTGGTCAAAGTAGGTAAATGCAATTAGCAACGCTTAAAAAAGGCAGTGTATTAAAGGCACTTATCAATGTCATGTGTGTGTGTGTGAATTAGCTGCCATTTTTGTTATCATTTAAAAGAAAGTTATCGTTAAAAAAGCTATACAAGTGGCTTTTTGCCTCACAAAAAACATGACTGGAATTGGTAATAAGTCAAAATGAAAACGAATTTGGCAAAATATAGCAGCTAAAAATAAATGGATAGGTATGCCTTCTCTTGCAGTATTTTTGCAGTAAATTGCCACCATTCAACTCCCCAACACATGCAGATTTGACGAAATTACACACAACCTCCAAAAAAAAAATTTATTGCATACTTTGCGCGAATAATGAATGTATTTATGAATACGCTACGAAGCATTAAGCCCCGTGATTAGCGCATTATTTAATCTCTTCAAATAACCCGTTATTAAAGATCTGAGTCGGAGGAACACAATGATAAAAATACTATGTATGTACAAAAAACTCGCTGCATTTCTCCATAGGAACTGTGTCTAAAAATATGAAAGCCCGCGTAAGAAAGTAATTTCGTGGTATTCTCGAAGAATATTTATTGACTGAGTTCAGTCGAAAATTTCTCGATGTCCAGTTTCAGGTTTCTGGGAAATTTACATTAAAATGAGGGTCTAGATGGCAGCCGACCCGCGGATCTAGATACTGACAAAGGTACTGAATTTTTATTTATATCAACGTTCTCTGTATCACTTTTGCTAAGGATTAAGTCTCTGGTTCGTTTGAACTCTTCGAATTTCTTATTGAGGAGGTTGAGTTCTGATTTTGTGGTCGATTCCGGGATAGGATCTTCGATGTTATCCTCGTCGACTTCCTGGAAAACGATCGTTTCGGACGTTTTGTTAATGATTGATTGGAATTACCTGTATTTCTGAGAACGTTACAGGCTGTGTACGGTACCTTGAAGAGCCCCCTCTTCTCTTCTTGGGCACCACCCGCCGATGGAGTCTCGACATGGGTTCCGGGTACACCGTATCCATCGCTACGAAAATTGATTTGAATCAGGCGCGCACTTTACAAGTTTCTAAGTGCTAGACAGGTGTATTTTTAAAACGCAGCGTCGGTGCCCTAATTATTAATCGCAGCAAATTTAATGAAAATATTTTTTGGCCCGATTCGAAGAAACGGAAAACTTGTTGACTTCAAACAATTTAAAAATGATTTATTAAAAGCTCTTCAAGACAAAAACAAATTTTTGGCGTTTGTTTACTTTCAATTAAGTTTTGGTAAAAATAAATTGCCACACTGGCACAAACGTAAGTCAATGAGTTCTGGTGGATTAGTAAACAAATTATCGCGAAATTACGACTATTGGAGTTATTCAACTTGTGTGGAAATCACCACATATTGAACGCAATAAGTTGTTCACCTAAAACTAAAACAAATGTTTACATGTTCTTAATCCATTTATTTTTAAATTCGTCAAACGTGAGTCAATGTTTTGTCCTACTTCTTCGATAATATCGTAAAAAAATTCTATCGGAATTAATAATCACCGACGCGACACTTATTACCGAAAATAAACTCACATTGTGTTGGCGAAGACAACGAAGGCATTATTCCCTCAATGTCACAGCACTTTTCACAACGACGAGTTATTAAATGCAGTTTACCACGCACAGCTGTTTAATTTTCGGTGTTTCAGTGCTACGATATAAAGGTTTATAAGAATTTCAGCTAATTTTAAACACGGAACGTTCACTGAAGTGGCGCTCGTGTACTTTTCAGCCCACGTGAATTTCAGTAGTGCGCGAAATATGATTGCGAATCTACAATATTCATGAAAAATCCCATACTTTCGCCGACGGCGACGTAACACTGCACCTCACACACGTCATCTATTGAGATATTATGCAAAAAGGGAAAGGGGGAAAGGTTAAAACGCAACCGTTTACTTATCCAGTTTATTCATCATCACACATATAATTGTGTACAACTAACTTAAATAACAAAATTGTAGGTAAAACACCTAAACAAGACAGTTCGTGGCACTTGATTTATAAAGAAATTCTACTCGTGAAGTCGTAAGTTTTGTGATAAACTTGCACTTGAAAAGCTTGGAATGAATTAGCTGTTACATAAGGCCTCTTAAGTTAAGTATGCCGGTCACCAACTCCTCTCACTCGCATAATTAACAATAAATAATTAAAATAAATGACAGCTCGTTTGAGTAAGGCATCATAATACTCTTGGAGGGATCTTAAGATATCGTCCATTGCAAAACAGCAGTGTCTTTGCCTCCTATTGACACTAATCTCGTATCATCGTGTAAGAAGTTTACGGCCATTACGTGACTGCTATGACCCCCATAAGTGTGACACAACGACTGGAAAAATATTTCTCACATAAAATAACAAATACTGAAAAATTTACTCACCCGAGGTTGAGAAGCCGGATAACTGTATAATTTTACTTTACCAAAATCATCAGCACTTGCTAATAATTTCCTATCATGACTACGATCACAGAAATTCACATCAGTACCATCAGCATTCTCCGGCCAAATTCCTATGGTACTAAACGTTATGGTACAATTATTGGTGGCCCAATCCACGTCACGCATGACCCCTGTTTGAGGTATTTGGCGACAAGTGGTAGCATTCCCTAAAATTCACTTGTAAATTATTAATTTTTAAAAATCTGTTACTTACAATACAAAAGTTCATAATCGCCTGAATTAGTTCTAAGCGTTTGATTGTCAGTCGACCAATCAATGTGAGTAACAAAACTCGAATGTCCCTAAAAACACAAAATTAAACAAATTCTAACGGTACTACAACCTCTACCATTGCTTTCCCACGGGTTGATTTACAACCCTGATAGCATGTCAAGGAAACAATTGAACATCAATCGATAAAACCGAAAAGTACTCACCATACACCGCCCCACTCTGTTGTATTTTTGTCCATCTTCGGACACTTGGTAGATATAAATATTGTTATCACGTGACCCTAAGGCGACCATATTACCATCAGGCGAACACTGGATCACTTGTATGGGTTCAGCACCATCAGTGTGACTTTCCAGAATTTCCCGGGTTTGTACGTCGAAAATCATCCATCTCCCAGTGACACACCCAACTATAACCGTCGTACCATCGACCGAAAAGGCCAAACTTTGAGCTTGTTCCTGGAAAAATTAGTCAGGAGAGTCCCTTACGAAAAAAAATCACAAACCCCAATATCTTTGCTCCAGAGAATGCTATGCGAGAGAGCATCCCACACTTGCAAAACTTTGTCATAACCCGAAGTTGCGAATTGTTGGACACTTGGGTGCGACGCAAGAGCCACAAGTTCATCAGTGTGGCCCAAAATGATTGGTTGAAAACCCAATTCGACTGTTCCTGTCAAAATACAGTTTCTGGTAGTACCTACAATGAGTTGTGAGCCGCATCCTTCAGACACGACCCGAATTCCCCCAAAATGACCCTCGATCTGTGTTTCTCCCACTTTCTGTAAACTCGGATCGAAGAGCACAATCCGACCGTCTTTTCCACCACCAGTGACCACACTTCCATCCTTTAGAACACAAATGGAGAAAATCGGGCCTTCGTGCACATTCTTGATAAATTTCCAAATCGTGTTGGTACCCCTGCCCCAGATTTCCAAATTTCCGTTCGAATCCCCGGTCATCGTTTCCCCCGTCTGCAGAAACGCCACACACGTGACATATTTCGGCTTATCACGTGTCTCGAAAATCCCCATTCTTTTGTAGAGAGTACCACCGACGTCCAGCGACCAGAACGCAATGTGCGACTTGCCACAAGTCACAATAATGTTCCGGTCTAGCGGATGGAATTCAGCGGCAACAATGGTGTCAACTGAACACTGGAATTTGATGAGGTAATGATAGGTTGCGAGTAATGAGTGTGAGTACCTTCGTTTCCGTGATTTTGTATCCATTGTCGCCCTTTTGCCAATCCCATATTGAAATAATGTGATCGGGGGCCTCGTCCACGGCGAGGAGAAGGGACCCCCCGTCTGCTTTGCTGAATGACAGACAACAAACGGACACGTCGAAGTCATTCATGCCGATTATGGCTTGAGTGTGGAGGGAAACGGAGTTCCAGACGCGGATGTGGGGCTAAAAGAGAACCACAATCACTTAAAGTTGAGTTAAAACTAAAAATTTTAAATAAATACCCTCGCATCTCGGCGGTCTGCCCCCGCGCACTGTCCAGTAGCAACCAGCATTTTATTCGGGTGAATTGCCAGACTTTTAACATCATCAGTGTGACCCAAATAATGTCTCTGACTCTGTTCCTCCACGTTGTACAATACGACCACTGCTGCCACAAAATATACCATTTCGCCAGTTGGTAGATAGTACAAATTTGAGCGACAATCCCGTCCTCGATACCCATAAACCCAATCCAATTTCAGTTTTTGAGAAGGTGCTGTTGATACTTTGGTAATTTCGTAGCTATCGCATAATTCGGATGGGACGTATAAGATAATGGGACGGCCTCGAAGGTACATTTTGACGGTTTTTTCGTCTTCATTAAACGTTGTTTCCTTTGTCCTGTTTGAACACACAACAAATAAATTCATAAAATCAAAAATTAAAGAAAAAAATTTATACCCTCGCATAGTTTATGAAATTTGGAAACCTTCACCTCCGAAAGTTAGGCGAAAACTAAAACTCTCGTGTTTTTGATACGATTGGGTGACCATGTATTACCGGAATACCGCATTATAACACGAAACACTATTGTTGCGAAGCTGCAATTTTTTATGTTTGTTGTTAATTTTGCATCTTCGTTGCACATCTATTTATAGATTATCGTCATAGTTTGTGTAAATAAGGGAGCAATTAAAAGCTGATAAGTGTTTTTGCCGCTTTGGCGTTAATAGATATGTGTTATCACAGTTGTTGATTAAAATTTAAACACAAAAACAAGATTTTGGAAAACCCGAAATTAGTAAATCATTCTCCTAAAACTAAATTTGGATGCCAGTTGCTGTTTTACTATCAGTAAATTAAAAATAATAATGATTGAAATACAATATTCACAAACATGGAAGGATTATTTGTGTTTAAAATTATAAAGAAACAAGAAGGAAGATGACACATTTCGGTAAAAAAAATGTAATGTGGGCTAGATTTTACGATGTCATACTTTACGTATTAGAGTCGCACGCTAAAATCCAATTTCTTCTCACGTGTAGCATATAATCTGCATATTTTCCATCAATGAATCAATACCACCCACAATAGTGACTGTGATAAGTGATAATACGAGGTCAAATTGATTTTTCACTACGACAGCTACGAAAATAATGAAGAAATGATAGTCTCTGAGTAAAAAGTTAAAAAGCTTCAAAAAGTATGTAAATGAAAGTGTAGGAAACCGTTCAATTATAGTAAATAATTTTTTTGAAAATATATAAACTAGTTATGCTGCCACATAATTTTCTATAGTCTCTGACACAGCAAGGTAAAACTTCTTAATCATTATTTCACATAAAAATACAAATCATCCAATGAGATTTTTTAATCATTTTCATGTACCTCTTAACTAAATTACTAGGTACTCGAAAGCACAATGAACAAAATTTACTCAGAATTGTTAAAAATTAATTTCATGTTAGCTTCTCTATCATGTAAATATTTTAACCGTTATTGTTTACTTATTATTTTATAAATTGTGAAGCAATAACATTGGCAAATATGTATTAAATTGTCTTCCACTCATATAGGTTACATTTTAGTGATAATTTCTTCATTTGATTTAACAGAATGATAAAATAAAAATCGTAATTCTAGAAATAATTGTTTTTAGGTAAAATCACAAGATAAAAATATTGCTCAAGCAAATCATCCACAAGTTTGTTAATAATAAATTTTCGTACTTGATTAAAAAATTAATACGTATTAGCATGTATGTACCTGAGATGATCCTTATGATGATGTAACAGTTATTTTTATTTAAGTGGGGAATTAGCTAATAAGTAAAACATCAAATAAATCTTCCCACAAATCACACTCCCACAACACAATGAAACAAATTTTTTATCAACTATTAGTGTTCCTATTAGGTACTAAAAATTGTTAAATGTTGGTGATTAGACTTGTTATTTCCGTCACCCACTTAACAAGGAACAACTTCAACAACTTCTTAAAAAACAAAAACAAAAAGAAACAAAAACATACCCATGCTTGTAATTTTGTGCGGGATAACTGTTAGCCCTTGTATTGTAAAGGTTTAAAAAAGATTTTGCAGAAAACCTAAAAAACAAACGAAAAAACGCAAAACAAACAAAAAATTAGCCCAAATCCTCCGTCTTTACGTACTTTGAGTGCATCCCAGAGGGCGAGATGGCGTTATTTTGGTGAAAATCCCCCGTCGAGCTCCACCTCTTGTGGAGGTTCCCATTTCCCACCGGACTGGGACTATTGGATGGGGGTTTTTTGACAGCGGGGAGTGGAGTCGCTCTCGGTGACGGTGACGGCACTGGTGAAACACTACTCGAACTATGACTGTCACTATGCAGACTGCCGGTTGATTGATAATGCACTGCTCTTCTCTGTGGTAAAGACGAGCCGTAACTCCTGCGGCTCACCTCCAAGGATGTGGTTTTGTTGGCGTAATTATGGGAACGCAAACGGACGACGTCTTTAGTACTACCGTTGCGAAGAGGTGACGACACGGCCTGATGGTTTATTTTTGTACCTTCTAATTGACTGACACGACGGAGGGCTTCGGCTAGGGTCGCTTTTAAACACATTAATTCATCGGATTGTTCAAGAACTTTGCGTTCGAGGTCCGCCAGTCTCCCAGCGACCCCACGGCTTTCTGCCTCCAGCATTTCATCTAGAAAAAAATACAGATTACTAAAAAAAAGATTCAAAACTTACTGTAAACTTTGACAATTTGCATATTATTTTCTAAAGCCGTTTTGTATAAACTCATTTTCGTTTTTTATTTAGTCTAATTGAATTGGTGATACAAATAAGGTGTTGTTCTCAAAAACCGCATATTTAGCCAATGTAATGTAAACTAATCATCAGAAATGCGTAATGATAATATAAAAGGTCGTGATCTGGTTCATATTTGGTGTAAATCTAAATACAATAAAAATAATTGAAATTTTTTAATTCGTTTGTGATGCAACGATCCGATGAGACCTGTATTGTTGGTTGCCTGATATTAAAATAAAACAATTTTATTGAAATAAAATTAAAAGTTTTAGGTGAAATACATGTGAAATACCAACAATGTCAATGGCCCAAACGATAGAAGAGTTGTTTATGTCCTTTTTAATATTCCGGGTTAAACAATAAAATTTTTAGCTTGATTTTTATTATGTATTAACTTATTTCATAAAAATTATGTCTGAAAACCTGTTTTTCGCGAAAATTACTTTTTATACACCGCAAATTCATCCATCCTTGAAGATAAGAATAACATATTTCACACATTTTCTTTAAAAAACAACCAGTTAAATACTATCTTCTCTTGAAGCAGAAACAGTGAATTTATTGTTTAAATAGCAGTCCTAAAAATGAATGTTTAATAACAAACGTTGCTTATAAAGTAATTATCCATTTTCTGACATTTATTTTTTTCTCAACGTCACTTTCATCCAACCCCTGTTTCTGCAACAAAAGTGTAGCAGCAATTAAATGTAAAAAATTAATTTCAAACCCCAAACTGATTCACAAGTATCATCCAAGTGAAGTAAATCGTTTTCTCACATAAAACTCGAAAACGAGGTTAAATATCTCATTATAAATAAATTTACATGTTATTTGATGAAATTTATAAGCTGTGAAAAACATACCTACATTAAATGTCTGTTAATTTTTTTATTATCTCGTTAATCACTTCAGACTAATTCATTTCGCTCAAGTGAATTAATTATTAATTAATAAAAACGTACCTACATTATTTACTGTACTACGTTTAATGAATATTATTCGTTTTGGTCCATTTCATGATAAATTAGAAGGGAAGTGATCAAAATAGCAAAATATTTTTCAATAAATGAATAAGAGTGGATAAATAAGCAGAAAATTATGTAATAAAGCAATCACTTTTTATTTATAGTCAGTCATTTATAACAATTTTCATAAAAACATAATTGCCACTCCTATTCATCATTTGTGTTCTTTAGACCATTAGACTGTTATGAAGCACCTTTAAACTTAAATATTTTCTAAATTTAATTAATTTTTGACTTGCATTCTGAGGCCACAGTAAAGTATAATAAATGTAATTATTTATTTTTCCAACCGCATCACGGAAGGGTGCGAGCACTACTTTGAATAATAATTAAAAGAATGACATCATTCTTATAAAAAAATCCAGATGAGGCAGTTACATAATCATTAAACGATTAAAAGTGAAACTAAACGCGAATTAATTTAACAATACGAGGCCACTCACTGAAAACTATTTCTTTAATTTGTCGTAATTGTTTGACAATTCCAAACGTACAACGCAAACAATAAAAAGTAATTAAAACCAATCTAATTTGTGTGTTTTGATTATCGCAGGCTGTTATTGTACTATAAAGTTTCATGATGGCCTAATTTCGATAAGAAAAATACACACAATGCGTCCAGTTTCAACCTTTTCCTTAAGATTTTATTCTTGGGAACTGAGCGGAAATAGTCAACTGTAAATGGCGCAATTTTGTAGCGCAATATAATAATTATAGATACAAAAATCATGACAGTTAAGATTTTATATTTACGTTAACTGTTATGGCTTAATTTGCATATCGAGGTATTTCTCGAGTTTCTGCGTTGGAGATCGGAATTATTGACAATTGTGTCCATTAAAGCACCCAAACAAGTGTAATTTACATTTTCAAAGTTAGCGACAATAATACTTGACGTGAACAAAATTAGATGAAACCTGGTTTATGCTTATTTTGTCTGATTCATTTTCATATTTTTTGACATTTCCCGGTCAGTGAACCCGCTACCAACTTTGAAAAAAAATCAAACAAGTATTATATACCCATTATTTAACTTACGCCAGGCATTGTATGTGTCGTTAAAATTCGGACTTTCGACAATCTCGAGACTTCGATTGACCGAATCTTCGGATTTCGACAAATCATCAGCACTGAACTCCCCATCAGTCATTTTCATTAAAATTCACTTTTACTTTGTTGCAAATTGGCCACAATTGGCATAATTAATCACAACCATTTGTGACAAATGGATTTGGTTCGAGCACATTCCGTTGCAAATAGTTTAATTGGTCGTTTAGCCACCTTTCACATTAATTATCGCCAAGAATGGACAAAATTGTGCTTTTCTCGGTGACAGCAGCACAACACACTGTATGTAAACACACCGAATTGATCCGAAGCTCGGGCGCCGCGCCGCTTTAATGAGATGAAAATCAATAAAAAGCTGTCGCTGTGGATAAATTGTCAGAGACTTCCTTGTCAAAGTTATAATTTCTTTGTGTTTAAAACTGATGCAAGTGGGCTTTTTGTTTGATCTGCGGAAGGCCGAGCTATGAGCCATGAATCCGGTGCTAGAAAAAGCGATTGTGTGCCTACGCCACCATCGATCAATTCTTGCTAGTGAAAAATAAATGGGAGAAATGCAAGGACGATCAAGGATACAAACACTGACCCGATCTACATATGAAAGTTATTAGCACCCACTTGAGGAAAATTCAAGCGATTGTTAATGCAAATAAAACATCCGGATTTGGTTAATTAATTTAGCGGCTGTGAGAATATCATTCCTTTTTTTGCTCATTAGTATAATTACGATTTGTGTCACTTATTAGAAGCATGAAAGTGTTAACACCGACGAAACACAAGCAGAACATTTTTACATTTATCTAATAAATGAGAAAGTCATGTCAATTGTACACAATTATCAAATTTCGCTTATTATGTAATTAACAGCAACTTACAATTAGATACAATTCCAAATACGTCCGAAATGTCACTCTCAACTTACCCACTTACTTTGTAATTCTTTCAATTAACAACTATTTCACTAATTAATGTCTCAACTAATTGCAGAAGTGGAACAAAACTGATCTGTAAGCACGTCGAAGGATTTGTAGGTGTAGATGACTTTCTTTAATATTTACCAACTTTTTTAAATCTGTAAATATTGCGAGATTTTATGTAACCAAGGTTCTAACCATTTGGTAAATATCTAATTGTAAAAGTAAAAAAGTCAAGTGGTTGCAGTACATGATTCGTTTATTTAAAAAATAAGACACCAGACAATGGAGTCAAAATATCCGTTGTAAAAAAATAAAGCGTGTGAATATAAACAATAATGTTGTGGAAGATATATCGCATTGTTGATGAAAGAATAAATCAAGTTGTTCCCATTTTCTATAGTTTAAAACGATGCTATTTTCTGCAACATTATAAGAGTTGTACCCTAAAACTGCTCAAAACAAGAAAAAGTCAATATTTCAGTGAGCCTTGAAGTAAAAAAAAAGAATTTTTCATGTGTGGGTTTTGTATTTTACTAAGAAAAGTTAAACAGCAATTTAAAAATAATAAATTCTTGATTATGATTCTGTTAGCAAAATGATTGAAAATAAACAATTTAAAACTCAATAACTTTTTGATTTCATTTCTTCCTATTCATTTATCCATTAATAAATACAAAAATTAATAAACATTCAAAATACAAATGAGGTGGGTAAATAATTTTTTTATACTTTTGCGAAAAAAAAACAACAAAATTAAGTAGATTTAACTTATAATTAACTTCTACAACGTGATTTCAGTTGAAATTGGTTATCTTTGGCTGTAAGTAAATATAACAATGGTGTTTCAACCTTTCAACACATATTTTTAATAAATAAATTCAGTTAACCAACAACTTATAAAATGCATAGTCGAGAACATGAATTTTGACTTCAGACCTGTACTTAAATAAGTTAGAACTTTGGAGGAATAGGAGGTAAACTTAGTAAACATACTAAAAGTCACCAATCGTTGTGGTAAGCGGGGAGCGCAGGGGAGCACCAAAAGAGTCCCGTTTTATGTTTTTTCGCTTATATCCACAAAACGATGCATGTTACAAAAAAAATGGTTATATATAAAATGAAAGTTTATAAAATTTTCTTCAAGACATTTTTTGGGGCTTTTTGTATCTCGAATTGCTTTTGCGATACTCGCTAACAAACATTGTACTCTCTAGAAAACTAATAATGAATAACGTAAGAATTGTTGTAAAAGTTGGAAGCGTCGTGATTGGGCCGTTTAAGGTCGGCCATTATAATAATACCAAAAAACCAATCACTTTATCTTTTTGGATTCATTCAAAAATTGAATGCAGTGATATGATTGGTCCGTTTGGGGCGGCCATATATTAATGTAAGAAGCCAATCTCTTTAAACTTTAAATTCATTGAAAAATGTTGCGAAATTGTTAGTTTCGCATTTGAATTTATTCATTAAGGTAATACCAATTTTTAATGAAAATGTTATGTGTGTGCTCTTTGCACTTCCTACTGTGGCTTGTGAGTATTTTGAATTTGTGACCATTGTGAATTGTGACAGAGAATTTGTAGGTGGTACCCTTTATTACCTTTCATTGTTCTTTATTGGGAAATAATAGTAATAGAAATAGGAACATTAGTGTTTTACCCATCATTAACAAGGACACGGAAATGAAAATTGTCTTTAAATTAGAAAATTTCTATCCAAGAAGTGAAATGTAACCTCACTTTCTTGAGAATTGGAAGCATCTGCAAGGAGGTAGGTGTGTATGGGGCTTTGTACGAAGACTGTTTTCTACAAGCCCCAGAGGCCTAATGTGCAATTTGGAATCTTCAACCAATATTTCATCACTTTTGCTGTAAACTTGGGATTTAAGTAACATGATGCAGTGAGACAAAAAAAGCTTGATTTATTTTTTTAAGTACCCGAAATTTGCCAGTTAATACCTCAAAAACTATTTCAGATACAAAGAAAACCAAAATTCATCTTGAAGAAAATTTTATAAGATTCAATTACGTACCTACATTTTAACCTTTTTTTTTCGAAATAACCAAAAAAACTGCAGCCTCTTCCTCTTGGTGTCTTCCTTTACACCAAGGAGGACTTTTAGTATGTTTACCTTCTAACTAGTCCAAACACAGCCCTGAAGTCAAAAATTCTGTTCCCAATCATGAGTTTATTGATTGGGCTGTAAGCCTATTAAAATACAAACAAATAGGTAAATAACAATTATTCAATTTCAGTTTTTAAATTGAGTAACAAAGTAATTATACCATACATAAGAAAATAACAAACATTTACTATTGTACCAATAAATTTCATTTAACAATACTTCATTACGTGTACCTACTTATCCACAACCACGTTAATATGCGCTTCAACAATTGCCAATTATTTTGATAATTTTGAAATTGGAATAGGAATTGATTACGACAAATATAATAAATAATATGTACACTCATTTTTGTTTTAGACCACAGTATTATAAAATGTGATACTTTTGTGCAAATATTTATTCAAACGGTGACACTTGCATTAAAAAGTCAAGGTTTAACACTATCACGCAAACCCATCGAATAGGTACTAGGTCATGAGTATCAAATAAGGCCGAACTATTTTCACCATTAGCACCGAATACTAATGGTTTATAACAATATCACGTACCAAAAATAACCCTTTCACGATTCATTCCGCTTTGATAAAAATCTCATTTCATAAGAGACTTTCTTGATGTTTTCCGGAAAGATTCGTGCCGAACAAACATTAAATTTTTATAAAAACATGTACTTAGATACAAAATTGGGTTAAGTAAGGTTTTTTCACAAAATGAACGAGTGATTGGATATAACAATTTTCCCCGTTTGCTTTGTAACACATAAATTAACTACAACGGTACTTTGACACCTTATCAAGTTTGTAATTCAGAAACAGAGAAACGAGTGATTGCTGGTAAATCACTGTCAATATTCAATATTTATCTAATAATTACTTATTAATCGCTACCTAAATCGTATAATTAAATAGCCAAAGCAAGAATTTTATTTTTAACTATAGTTGTTTATTACGTCAGGCAAGCCTGTATTTGTCTAGAAAATTAATGAGCAAATATTTCTTATGACCTTAACATACCTTTCAGGTATTATTTATTGACAATAGGTTTCTTGTTAAACTTAACTTGGAGTTAGTCTGGACAAGAAATACGTCAAAAAAGTTGGTGTATTCTTAATTGCAAAAAATACATTCAAAATCATTTGATTTTCCGATGAATTCAAAAGCAATTAGGCCGCGGTTTTCAAAACAAAGTCCAATTGAGTTGGCAACCGAATTTTGTTTGGAAAATACAGCCTACTTTTGAATACATCGGAAAATCAATTAAATTGGACTGTAACTAATTACTAATTAGGAAGTAATTCATTTTGAGGATAAATACACCATTATTATCGATGTTGAATAGAAACACGCACTCACTAATTTTAATTAAAAATAACCATACTGTGAATATTGACAAGATAACTGAAGTTAATACGGTACAAAATTACTGAAACGTGTTTGTAAATTCCTGCTCTCGCAGGAATTCATTTCAGTCAGTAAAATTTCAAACACTTTCTATTATGTCAGGATTTGATCGCTATTATGCAAATTTTTAGGAAAACAAGACGCTTATGTCACTCTTCCTACGTGATCAGGATTTCGTGTGCAATTTTAACAGTGTTAACCTTGAATGTAAGCATCTTCGATTATGAAAAACGCACACACGAATAAATTTGCATATAGTTAAAAAAAACCTACGGGAAATTTCTATATTAATTTCTAGGTTCATTGCTTTGGTGGTGGGTGGTGTCAACATTGCAAATATGTATTTCGCTAATAAATTGGGTTATTGAAGTCAGTGACATTTTCTACTTACGATTTTCCACTGAAGACTCCATGGAGTCGCCGTTTAGATGCATTGTCTTTGTTTTTGAAGTCACTGTAGCTCATAGACGATAAGCATCGTTTGACAAACCTGCAAAACAAACTTTTCCTCAGTTAACTTCTTACAGGTCGTTAAGTTTTGATGGCAAATTACGTACAAAAGTAGCAGTTTTCTGCCGAGTGGTGCTTGATGTAATTAGATAATTTTAATCACTAAAAGGAGGCATTATGATAATTAGAAGGACTTAGTATTATCATTTATCATGATAATCGCTCACATAAAATTTCTTGTTTATGCAATTCAAGCTAAAACATTAGCTACCTATATGTTCAAAAGGTAGGAATTCTTTGACGATGTGGTAATTTGCGGTAAAGGCGCATTGAATTTCGTATTTTAAGAAATTTTTGACAAACCCGGCTTACCTATTGTAGAAACAAATTTAACGAGTTTATTAACTATACCACTATACGTCATGTCTAAAAAATAGTATGTATCAGATTTTGATAAAACTTGTAATCAATAACAAAACAATAGATATTAGGTATAATTTACTCTGATTATCATCGATAAGTTAAAAATAGATATTCCTTTAAAAACTTCACAAATCAAAAACGTGATGAAGACATTAATTTTTTTAATACGTGTTTATTTCATAGATTTACAAACATACTAAAAATTAGGGATTTTAAAAATTGGCAATAAATAAAATAGCTATTTATGTATCAAGTAAGCAAAATAGGGTTTTAGGAGACGAATCGCAATTAATGACGAGGCGACGTAGGAGCCAATTTACAAATTTTACACTATTTGATTTTTGAGTAAAGACGTCATCGACTTTTGTAAAATCGAAATCCCTAATTTCTGTTAGCCAATTCGATAGATCTTTTAATTGCCGACATGACAACACCAAAATATTAAATATTACATAAAGTTTTCGAAAAAAAATCACCAGAAAAGTAAAATGATATCAACAAAAAAACAAATATACAACTTTAAAACAGGTTGAAAACTTTGTACTCTTTAAAAAGAAAATTGACCTGTTCGAGTATTTGTCAAAACAAAATATTTCCAGTTTTAATAAAGAAGATTATTCCATAATTTTGATAAATACGTATATTTATTTTAATCAAATTAATAAATTTTATTTGCTGCTTTTATTGCTGCATAAAATTGTAAAAAGCAGTGAAACAACTTTTCATTCAATAATCATTAACTCGTACAACTGCCTTCACTGCAACAACCTCATTGTCTAGAAATTGCAAACAAAATCACAAGTATCTGAAACAAATACTGAGATCTCTATTACAGAGAAATGTTTCATCAATATTCATCGAAAATGTAAAAGTGCAAAAAATCTATTCACTCTCTCGATAAATAAACAAGTTGGAACATATCAGGTGTTATAACAGGAATATGAAATGAGGAAATGTCTTGTTTAAAAAAGTTGAATTTATAAAAAAAGTTAAAAAATATACATCTTAACTGGTTTTCGCAATTCCTTGAAAAATAATTCAACTTTCGGTAAATCAAGACCAAAGAATGATTTATTTAACGACTTCCTCATTTCCTACACTCTTTGTTTCTTCATAAATAAAATTGTGAGAGAATCACAAATGAACTTTAGAGACGTCATGTAATTAAAACAATTATAAACTTATCAATTTATAAAATAAATGTTGGTCCCAGCAAGATTTACTAAAAGAACTCGAAAAAGCATGTGATATTTTGTTTGGAGATAAATGAACCATTGAAAATGAAGTCGGTGTTTTTGTGAGTAAAAATAAAGTCATTAAATTGCAAAAAAGCCGAAAATTAATGTGTGAGCATTCCGGTGTACAATTTTGAACTTTTAGAACAAGAAGTAAATTTGCTTTAAACATCAATTAGGTTCAAATAAAAACATTGAAACGGTTGTCTGGTTTCATTCGCTGAAAATAAAAGTGTACCAATTTACATTTACGTAATTTTTTTCTAATTATCAAAAATAATCGGTGGGGTCACTTCCTGCCTAACCGTCCCCTGTCTGCCAACACCTGTCTGTCATTTCCGGTGAGGGTTTAAAAAAACGTTAGAGGGTTGAGTTGCCGATGAAATCAAGGTTAGGGCAAGCCCCCATTTAATAAAATTATTAATAATTGGGTCAAGCATTCCGTGGTGTCCTTTTGCCGACTTAAAAGGTATTGCAAAGTTGCATGACTCATCCAGATCAACAAATAGCAGGCCATTGTCTTCTGGTTTCAACGAGCAAAACCGCACACTCTTGTATTTCAGTCATTCGGTCTGCAATTCTTTTTAAGTACAAAATTAAAAAGAAAAATCGATCCATGACGTTCAAGGCTTATTATCCAATCAAGCGTTGATGGTTCAATAATACACCACAAGAAAAATCCGTTCCCACGACATACTGAAAGCAACATAAAACGGGAAAGTTGAAACTGCATTGTCTCTAATGGCAGTGGTATCGATTGCTCGCCAAATAATCGATTTTCACTCACGGAGAAAAGCAGATGCCGAAGAAGTGCTGTGAACGGATGTGACGTCCCTTTGTTTGCTTTATGGGAAGATGACCATGAAGGAAATGGCTGCCATATCAGCACTTTCCCATTATTTCGTTAAACAATAGATGCGGCCTCTATGAATTACAAATGTGAAGTAATTAGAATCAATGGACCAGCAGCTATAGAATTTCCGGTAGTAGGTACCATGACTAGAAATTGTACAAACAGGATCTTTCAATACCGAAACCTTTGACCTCAGCGCAGAACTGGAAATACCACTAATGCTGATTAAAAGTATCAAAATTCCGTATTTATCGTTCATCGGATCATGCTTTTCGACTGGTGAGAAATTCAGGACAGACGAATTAAACAAAAATTTAGCCTTGAATCTCACGAATCCACAAGAAAAATTGGTCCATTTATGGAAGTGAAATTTGAAATTCTTAACGAAAAATACACAGCGAGGATACGAAACATTAATTATATCTTTTTGGCAAACAGTTGTTTTTAAAAATAAAAAATAAACTGTCTTATTAACCCTATGTTGCAATTTCTCATTGGTTACGCTACCACATACCTAAAAAATCTAAAAGAGGTATGACAAATATCTACTTGGAAAAATCGCCGGTGAGTAATTTCCTTTCACTTATTTCCAAAGCTCAAATAAGGATTAGTACTATTTTATTTCAAAAATTGGTTAGCTAGAACAAAAGTTTTAAATTACAGGACAACTCTGATGGCTTAATTCTAAATTGGTGTTTTTAAATTTGTCCAAATTCGTACACAATTATTTTTACTGAAATTATTCAAAAATTATCAATTTTAGGATTGATATTTTTTAACTATGTTTTAAGCAAGGGCTTCTTCAACTAAAATAAGACCATGGGCGCCGACTACATGAGTGCAGCGGGGCGGATCGAAATTTTTTAATGGGTGCAGGGCACCCATCGAAATTTTTCAATGGGTGCAGGGCACCCATTGAAAAATGAAAATAATGTAAGTACACTTGCTTACGGTAAAAAATAATAGTAATAACTATTAATAATATTTGGAATTTCGTATTTATTCTATTTTTTTAGTAACGTTACATTCTTTCAAATCACTTTTAATGTCAAAGATGTCATAAATTTTCTATTTTCCCCTTTGAGAAAATGGATTAAATTCATCGTTTATTTTATTCTGTTGTTTTCCGTTTTTCAAATTAATTCAAAATTAAGCTCTTTAGTGAAAAACTCCTTGAAAAAGGAAAAACTTCAAAACGACAATAGTTAAACTAGTTTATAGTTAAACTTTTTACTAAACAAAAAAATTTCTTAAATTTTTTGATGATTTTTGAAATATTGTACCTCTATGAAAAATGGTCGTATTTAGATTTAAAAAATCCATTTTAAAGCTTCAAGTTTTTAGTCTGGAAATCTTTTGGCAAAAAATTTTCTGAGCTACGATTATTACGTCCTGAGAAATAGCGCGAGAAAAAAATGTATTTTTGTTATTCTTTTTTTTTTGGTCCACGGACACGAAATTTTTTATTAATTAAATCAATACATGAGCCGGATAGCTTATTCAATTGTTCATTCTCCTTTAATTTGCATTTTTTATGTTTTCTTTACGTCGATTTGTCGCTGAGACTTTTAATGAAAAAGGATCTTTTTGTCTTTGATATCTCAGCAACCAATGACCGCAAAGAGAATGTAAGGAGTTTCAAAAACTGGAATAAATTTTTACGATTTTTTGAAAAAAAATTACTTGCAACATTGATTTAAAGAAAACAGTACTTTTTTGTTGTTGTAGTAAATCTACGGAGTATTCATGAATATTGATGGGGAGACTAATATCTCATTAGGTTTTTTTATACCCTAAGGTACGCCCAATAGCCCTAAACTGTTTTCTCCGGAATTGTTTCTGAACATTGTGTAATCTTCATCAAAATGAAAAAGCAGTAGTTTTTTTTCACCTTTTTCTACAATTTTGCATGTTAACTTTGAAAAATAATATTCAAAAAAATTTAAAAACAATTTTTGATCTTTTTAAAATGTAAAAAATCAAAAACCAATACTGACTAATATTTGAGTCCATTTAGCTTTTGCATACCCTATAATTTTGCTCATCTCAAATTAATTGCATTAATGATAAGTTGATACCCCCCAAGTTCTTTTCAGCACTAGATTTACGAACATTCATTAAAAAAGTATTTTTTTAATTGTTTCATTTTTTTTTTTTCAAAAACAGGAGTGTTATTCTCCAAAACTCAACAATTTGTAGCATTTTGCAACTTTGAACATGTACTATTTTCTTTAGCATATGTTATTTATTGATTTTTTTCGTTTGTACTAAGTATACAAAAAATTATATTGTTTTTAAATTTTCTAAATATTAAATACAATAAATTCAGCAAACATAGGGAAGAAGAAATTGTTTTTCGCATACTATAAGTGCAGAATGGATTTTTAATACACAACTCTGTAAATCGCAAACAATTTCGTGAGGGTAACAAACGGAAGAAGAGTGAAGAATGCCAGAAGGCTATTTAAACTTGATGGCAACTTTCCTAGTTAATGAAGTGTTTGCATTTACCGTTTCACCAAAACAAAACTTAATTCAAATCGAGTGGTTCTGTAGAAACTGCATGCTAAATTATGCCTACATGCCTATTACACATTTCCACATAAAATTACAGTCATATGTGACCTCCATACGGGTCGATTGACCATCATGGTGATAACCAGATCATGGACACTTGACCCATCTGGTCGCAAAATTCGCTACAATTCGATTTAGAAACTTAGAAAGGATACTTGATATTGTCATTTTGCCACGGGTGGTCATCAACATTCACTCGCCTTTCTTCTAGGATTATCGATAGAAGTGTATCGAAAGGAAACGTTGCGTTGCCGAAATGTGGTAAATACTAATATACCATACGGCATCCGAGTGGTTTTGTTGGTTCACATCCGTAAGAACAAACTTGTGATGGTATGCATACTGATCCACCTGTATTGACCGTAAAGCCAATGAACTGTGTGATTGCTGCGGTACCATCTGACAATCGCACTTTGAACACCGTTTATATCCTCGTATAACTATCGGATATTTATGTTTCATGGATTGGGAATGGACGTCGACAATAAAGCGTGATGGATCTGTTGTTGATGCGAACCCAGACAATGGAAATGGTCGTAACCATGCGGATTTTATTTATTCGCAACAATTTTTGAACAAAAATATAAAAAGATGCGGGTAATTTTTAAGTCGGAACTAGGTAGGTGTAACAGTCGAAAAAATAAAATTAATGGCAAGGTTATTTGACAACAAGTCTTATCAGTTTCGCTCAAGGTCCCCACTGTTATTGTTTATAATCTTTGTAAATTATTAAATCAGAATGCTTCACGTTCTAATTTACTAGAGACAGCCTCCACAAATTATTTAATTTTTTCCTTCGTTTTTTGTGTTGCTGGAAAGTACGTAAAAGGCAGTTTAAAATTTACCAACGCTGTAATTTAACATCCGCGCATGTAAAACAAGTAGAAAGCGAAATATTGGCAGAATTATTCAAATCAAGATGCGTTGCAACTATAATTAATTGACATTTTTTACCAAAACCAAAACTCTCTTATTTTACAAACCCACAAACGAAGTCGTGCGAAGTAAAACATTTGGTTTGAATTGAACATCGCGGAAATAGAATTCCTCTTATTATTCATTATGTAAGTGGTGATTTACGGAGTTTTAACACGATAATAGCAGCAGAGTTTAATAGAAACAAACAAAAAAATTCAGCGTGGGTGAATGATTGGCGCTATCGCCAGCAGATCGTATAACAATAGATATTTATGAGCCATATGTAGGATAAAGCTATTTTACAGAATTATATAGAAAATTATGTAATTTGAAAATTTAATTTTTTCCTGAAACAATTAAGTTTTTCTAATGTTACCTATTCTGGCTCAGTATATTAAACGTGTAAGCCTCACCCTAAACTAATGCTTAATAGGTAAACAGTTTTCTTTAAAAAAATATAAATATAAAAAAGCTTTAAAAAGTGTATCAGAACAAAGAAAAATTTAATTAAAAAAATAGTTGACTAGTGTAATTAAAAGTAATTGTTGGTCACAGTTATCAATGAATAAGGAATTTTGAACCGATGCCATAAAGGCACACGTGGCTCGTTAAGATAATTGTACAAAAGTACAAGACGCCAAAATACCAGCCAAATAAAATTTAAAAAACTATCTAAATCGTGCAATTCCGATTCTGAGATAAACGCAACTGGTCATTATCACGTGCGCACTTAAAATATTTTTAACTAAATTAGCATTTACAAAAATTGGCACAATCAAGAAGAAAAATGCTTTATTGTACAAAAACCCATAAATTAGTTTGGTGTATTACCCAGATTGCTTCCATAAATTGATGACCAGATAAGAGATAACACAGAAATGACGACAAAACACGACTGAGACAAAAACTGATAACCGGCAAAACCCACTCAACATTCACAACACAAAACTAAACTTGCTAGCTGGGGTCCCCACAGCACGGTCTAAAGTCAGGTGAATGTGTCTCCCACTACCACATTTACCTGGCCATCTATCTCTATCTAACGCACATAGATGAAGATTGATATTGAGAAGAATGCAAGCAAGGTATTTGCATACTTTTGACTTCGTGCAAATCGACGCGACGGCCAAACAATATTTCAAATAAGAAAGTTTTCGTTATCAGAATCCTTTAATTTTTTTTGAATGTAATGACTTGCACACTCCTAAAATGGGCTGTAGAGGTGGTGTAGTTTTGAGATAATTGGGTCCGAGTGTAGGTTTTATATTTATCTAAATGCCAAATAGACCTAAATGGTTGTAGCAACCTTAATAAATAAATAATGTTGTAATAATTAGTGTAATATTTTATTGACATTATTACTGTAAACAAATTAAGTAATTAATGTTATGACACGAGTTTATTTCTTTTTTCGACTTTCTTTTGTGAAATTTTTAGGTGTATCAGACGGTTTTTTCGTTCACAGTGCAGGAAATGAGAGTTTGGGAAAGGAAATTTTGAGTAGATATGGATTTAAATTAGTTTTATATCAGTAAAATAGCAAGTTTTTATAGGTTCTCTACGTAATCCACTATAAATACGTATATAATTTAGTGATTGCAAGTTATCAATGAAAATGAAAAAAATAAACAAATAAAATGTCCCAATGATAGGTATATGTATAATTTTTTTATATTGATAGCCCAATTAAAATATTCCGTATCTAAAGAAATATTTGTAGAGCCTAAAGAAACTATTTTGTTGAAAATAATTTTTTTTAAGATTTTTTCGGATACTTATACAAACTAATTAATTAAAAAACAATACATTTTACAATACGTATATAGCGTTGCCTCATCATCTAATAAGAGAACTAAACAAACGTAAAGTACTTCATACATCGTTAAATATTTAGCTGGGCTAGAAACATGAAAAAGTATTGCTGGTTGCATATAATCCAGGTATTATACAGGTTATTCACAAGAGGGTTATTTCTAAAAAAAATTGCCACAACCCATCATACATATTGCCACAATTTCTTGATTTCAAATTTTTAAAATAATTATAACTGAATCCACGATATCTGTTATTAGTCTTATCTCTTTGACATTAAAGCGAAAAAATCAACTCTGAAAAGATGCGACATGTTTTGTTATCATTTACCAACCCACTAGGTGCATGTTTAGAAGCCGATGATAGACACTTCAAACACCTTTTACATTAACTTAACTTGTTATTTGTGCATTTTGATTAAATATAGGTGATCTGACATTTCTGGCAAATCTATCCAATTTACTTTGATTGTAATTAAAAAAAATAATACAGGGTGATTCACGAGGAATAATGAGCCTGACCAAACTTTCGATGCAACCAAAATTACACCTTCATAGGTCAGGTAGATTTTAAAGATTTTTTGTAATAAATCATAACGAGCACACAATTTGTCCGTTTTGACATTAAAAAATAATGAAAAACAGAAGTAATTGAATAACAAACACAATAATGGGTATTTAAAATACGAATTACGGAAGGCACTCATTCAAGTTTCATCCAGCGGTACCCTTCGCCTGGATAATTTAATAGGAACCCAGTTTTCTCAAAACTAACTTCGTGTTAGAAGATGCTCTTTCTTTCGGGGTATCATTGGGAATCACACAGGAAGCAAGAGATGCATTTTTCAAACATTCTCCATAAGCTAAAATCATGTCAGTCTTCTCATCATTGGAATAAGTCTAAATTTTCAAAAATGACAATGACGATGATTGATGATAATAATAATAGGCATCCTGTATTCAAATTATAACTTTTTTAAAAGTGTCACAAAGCAACTTGCAAAAATGTAATGGTAGTTGTATCAAAAATTTGGTCAGGCTCATTATTCCTCGTGAATCACCCTGTATATTTAATTTTGCAGTTAGTGATATTGGTATTGTTAGTTGCGGCAAAAAATTTCAGAAATAACCCTCTCGTCGTGAATAACCCTGTAGTTTCTTCTTATTACAAATAAAATGAAAAACTTTTTTTTAATATAACATTTTCAAGTTAAGCAATTAGCTAGTTACATCGTTAAAAATAAAATTAAAATACAATGTAAATGTTGTATGTTGTTATACCTGGATAAACATCGAGACAATATATTAAAAGTTCGTTCAACCGTATTAAAAATTATAATTAAGCTTAGGATGAACACGGAAACGTCAAAGGTTAAATAGATGAATGCAAGCATACTTCTACTGCATAATTTTGAATCTATTTTTTGGTCAATGGAAAGGGTAATTATTAAAAAGGTTGAATAAATGCAGTTCGCCTCAATATTGTTTTTCTTTTAATACCTATAAGCATACAGGAAACAAAATTTTTATGAATGATAATGAAAATAAGGTCACAGCAACATTTGGTTTAAAAAAAAAACATTCTTACAAAAACACAATTTTTTTTACAAATTTATTTCCAATCATGAAAACCAAAATTCCGCTTTACAATATTTGCAATATATTATTATTGCTTTTGCTGCTTAATATTAAATTACAAAACTTTTTTTTTTCAGAAATAAAGATGAACGTAACAATTTTTTGTTGATATATTTGTACTTTTTTAAATAATAAAAACAACCAAATGCACTTCTTTACTTTACACTTTCTTATATTCTTATGTACAAAATTTGTTTCATCTCACATTTTATAACATCCACACGTTACGGGGCACCTCTAGTAAGGTTATTACTTGTAGATCATTTTTGCTTTTGTCTTGGCTTAAATACATTTAAGTATTTGCCCCTTGTAACTTCTTTTGATTCCTCCACACCCAATTGATATGCAATATCATGCAACTCCTTAACTTTAGAAATCAGTCCAGCTGTTGGCAAAGCTGCTAATTCTACAAATAATGACAAAAACCACACCTATTTTTTCTATCCAATAAAAAGTAATTTATCCCAACTTACGGTGCAGATAATTCTGATCGTCCTGATTCAATTCCTTTGAGTAAGGCAACTTTACAGCACTTGGTGGTGTGAAACTGTTGACAAAATCTGTCATTCCTGGATCTGAAAAGGCTTCTTTTATTGTTCTAATCCTACAAGTATTTACAACGTTACTTACATTTCTCTGGCCAAATTTCTGGAGAGGCTCTATCCAGATTTTCCATACTCATTAAAGTTTGCTCTAGATCGCTTAAAGATTGATCTTGTTCTAGGAAATACAACAAATCAATTATATTTTGACAGATTGACATAAGCTACTCTGTTTAAAATGCTAACTTGTTTATGCACGATAGGTGACAATTTCGCATACATTGTTCATGCAAAGTATCAACAATCGTTTAATAATTAAATTGAGCCGAAAGGAGCAATTATAAAGTGATATTTTATTAAAAATGCTTTACCTTGTTCAATGCTCCCGGGTTTCTCGGACGCCATCTTGCAATTGTGCCAACTGCAAGAAACGTAATCAAGCATGTTGGGCTTTATGGGGGATTTTAAAACTGGCAGTAAAGATCACAACAGAACAAAAAAAAGCTGTTTTATTTGTAAATATATTAATATGTGATCTAGTTAAATTGTATTTAAGTTAATATTGTTTTTAATTTGTATACTCAAAAAAACAAAACGTTTTTTTCGCTCTTATGCACAGGTGGTGACGCACTTTTTCGACGCAACTCAGTACCATTCTCGACATTCAAACGTCAAATACCTCTTTTTCGAAGAGTTCGTAGTTGGATTAACCTAAATATTGCGTTCCATATCTCGTGACACACAACAATAAAAAAGTCGTGTTAATTAACGTACGAAAAATATGCTATTTGATTTAGCACAAGTATGCTAAATAAAACTCATCCAAAGAGCAGAGTTCAATTTTGAGTAAGTAGCAACGGTTTTTTCCGCACTTGAATTCTGATTTTTTGCACTTTTTACCAACTTTTTGCTGATATTCGCCTATTTCAGGAGCACTATGGGTCAAACTTTGTCAGAACCAGTGACTGCCAAAAATACAGCATGCTGCCAAAACGCCAATTTCCAAGTGGGCTCAAGTTCAATGCAAGGATGGCGTATCAACATGGAGGACTCCCATACGCACATCCTATCCTTGCCTGATGACCCCGACGCTGCGTTTTTCGCAGTTTACGACGGCCACGGGGGCTCCAAAATCTCTGAATATGCCGGCAAACACCTCCACAAATTCATAACAAACCGAGAGGAATACAAGAACGGTCAGATTGAAGAGGGCATGAAACAGGCCTTTTTGGAAATTGATAGAGTCATGCTTGAGGATGAATCATTAAGAAACGAGCAATCAGGCTCTACAGCGGTCACTATTATTATCAAAAATAATAATTTGTACTGTGCAAATGTGGGGGACTCCAGAGCCGTTGCTAGTATTGGAGGAAAAGCAGAGCCCCTTTCTAACGATCACAAGCCTAACAATAAGGAGGAATATGACAGGATAATAGCAGCAGGAGGCTGGGTTGATTTCAATAGAGTTAATGGGAATTTAGCCCTTTCGAGGGCACTCGGCGATTTTATTTTCAAAAGAAACGAGGATAAACGCCAGGAGGAACAAATCGTTACAGGTAAGTCTGGAAAATTGCTAGTGAAATTTGCTCAAGTTGTTTGAACACTGTCAATATTTATGTTACTTTTTTATGAATTGTGTATATTTAGTATCAAGTGAGTAATTGGGTACTTTCAAGGTAAATAATTACATCAGTTGAAGGATAGTTCCATTTAATTCAAAGGGTGCTTTATTTTTAACTTTCGGTACCTATATGTTATGAATTAAATAATTTGGCTGGCATCAGCGGTGTTCTAATTGTGTCATTCATTAATTAAAAATATTTACAATTGTTATTAATAGGAGACACTATTAAGTGATTAAAAGTATAACTTATCGTTTTCTATGACGTCAGAAACTTTGCATTATCTAAGTAAAAAAACAATTACATTACGTCAGGTTGTTCACACACCGACATACTAAGAAAAATATTTGTAATATCATTTGGCGCAATTTCATTTTTTTTTGTGTCATCCATTGTATTTTTTTCTTCATTTAGTCCGTTGACCTGCTTTACAGGTAAATGCTAGTCAAGTAAACATTAATTTGTCGAGTTTGTGATAAAGCTTTGATAGGTCAAACATGAACCAACTGCACGCAATTATGTCTTTGTAAAGATCAAAAGGAGCAAGAAAGTACAGTAGAGGCTCGATAATCCGGACCTTGCTAATACGTACTTCCTGACAAAACGGACCGAACTCAAAAAAAACAAAAACTAAAATCATTGTAGATATTAAAATCACATGTTGACACACCTGTTTTCCAGAGTTGATTGTCATTTTGTTTACTCGTAACAGATTACTCGTATTAAACACATTCCGTTTAATCCGGACAAGTCCGGAGCGAGTCTCTATTGTATACGAAAAAAGTTGCTTTTTCGACAAAAATAAATGGTTTATTAATAGAGTCCAGAATTAGAATTATTATTTAGCGAACGTTGACACTACCAATGATCGATATTCTTAAAAAATTAGCAATTCTAATATTCAGAACACCGCAACACCTTTTTAGGAATGAATTTTAACTAGGATAAAAACAGAAAATCTGAAACTAATTCAATTCCCCAGGCGCTTAGTTTTACTCGTTGTGGTTCTATTCAATTAATTTTTAGCTGGTAAATTCCAGTAATCAAGGTAATAAAAATCACTATAATTCTAATGGGCCACGATTTATATATGCAATTTGGCGATAAGTGCTTGAATCTGTTTTTTTCCGGTATCGTTAGATGAATTGCTTTGTTACAGCCTATCCGGAGGTCCAGTCGTACGAGATAACCCCCGATTGGGAGTTTGTGGTGGTGGCCTGTGATGGTATCTGGGATGTGATGAGTAACGAAGAGGTGGTTTCGTTTGTAAGAACCCGAATAGCGTCAGGAATGGAACCGGAAGAGATATGTGAAAACCTAATGATGATTTGTTTAGCACCCGATTGTCAAATGGCAGGTCTAGGTTGTGATAATATGACTGTTGTTATTATTGGACTATTACAAGGTGAAACGTATGAACAGCTCTCGACAAAATGTGCTAGAACTTATATTTCGGATGATAAGGAAGAAAATTTCCTCCTGTGAACAATGTGCAGATTATAATTTTTAAATGTATTTTTAATATGTAAATAAACTTGTAAATAATTATATCGTCTAGGACATGTTTTCTTTGGTTTATTAGTTAGATAAGGTTGAGTAGGTTTGTGATAGTGATTTCTACCAAATTTCATGTTTTTTTAGAAGACTGTTATGTAGTTAGAGGAGTATAGATAGAAATTATAATTAGATCAGCACCGAATTATTTTTAACAGTCACATTTGAGTAGGTTTAGTGCCAATTAAATAAAGTTTTTTGTTGAAGGTTGATTGTAAGTGCAACATATGGAATAAATCTTTATTATCATTAATACAATAAGTCTATGCTAATGACATTACTTATTACGTACAAAAACAATAAGACATATTGGAGGATAAAAATTAAATGATAGATTCTTACAAATTGGCATATAATGTAAGTATAAAACGTTAAAAATTTGTTGAAATAAATAATTATAAATTAATTCATTCTTTTTTGTTTGCTAATTTCCTATGCGGATATAATCTATAATGTCCAAGCAAAATAAAATAAATAAAGTCAGTAACAACGCAGATGTACAAAAAGTCATTTTCATCACTAACTATTACATACATAAATATGTATTTACATAATAAAAATTAAAATGAACTAAAAAATGAAATACTCTTTGGACACACAAAAATCTGTAATTAATGATCATAACAACTACGCTCTTCTTTCAGTTAGATATATAAATAAAATGTGTGTGGTATTTATAAAATGTACAAGTGGCTTTTATATTATTACCATATTTCCTATCCTAACACGTGTAATATTTTCATTAACTTTTACGATAAGAAAAAAATGCAGTTGAAACGATTAAGCTCTTGCCTTTTAACATCTTAAACTTCAACAACTAAACTTAGTAGTATTACACTACAATACATGTTTTAAAAACTACTGTTTCTAATGGCAAACAAAAAATTGTTTCAGTTGATTGATAATTCACTAACTGTATAAAATATATTTTCTTCAAAATGCAAAATAATACACATTCATTCATAAGAACACGACTCCTAAATCTAGATCACTATTTACAATGATTGTTTATCTGTTGGATATTTTATTTTATTAAAAACAATACATCATACACGGCGATATGAATAAAAACAAGAACGAGCCTATCCAACAAATTGTAAAAGAATACAAAGTTATCATTTACTAGCTTGAGTGACTTTACCATTTTTCATTTCTTTTTTCGGGGTCGGTGATATACAAATAACATCGTTATCATTGTTAGAATCGTCCAATTCGACTTTAACGTCGCCGTTATCTTCTGGCAATGGGCCGTTGTCTTTTTCCCAGTCTTTTAGAACTGTGTCTAAATTGTATCTTTTACGATAATTAACAAAAAACGTACGCACGTGGTGTTCAGTTTTGTTACCCAACACTTCGGCGATGCTTTTAAAGTCTTTACCGTACTTACGCACGCCTTGGACAGCCAAGAGCAATTCCTCATTTGTCCAGCGAGCGTTAATACGAGACGAATTGTCATTTGCTGGACGGAGATCTTCAATGGAGTCTGAATGTTTGCGCTTTAAGGAACTTATATTCTGCTTGTTCTGTTGGATCTGAAACAAAAAGCCCATTTCTAGTATCTCCAAACGCTAATTATGGGACACTTGCAGTGGCGGACTTAATTCTTAATATTCTAAAATATTTCACCCGAATACCAAGTAGGTACATTTGTTTTAAAATTTTGTTTATCCGAGAAAACATACTTCAACACTAATGCTACAATTTATATTGTACTTTTAAAACATTTTAAATAACGAAGAGCTTCTCAATTGCCCCCGTGGGTAAATCCGCCACTTGCAACTCTCATTAAAAAATATTATACCATCCTTGAACGAGAAGTGGTATTTGCCATACCAACGCTAAATATTGTAATTTAACAAAAAACATAATTCGATGGTCAAAACATCTGTTCCTTGAAAATAATGAATAATTCTGCTTAAAATAATGTAAAAACCATATAAAATAAAACAATTACAGCATTTGGTAGTTTAAATAGTGAACCCTCTCGACAAAGACCATGCAAGCTAGTTTTGTCCAACAACCTCACCCAACCACACCGACCATGCATAGAAACAGAGCGCGCTTTCTACCCTATCAACCACAGACGACTTCTGGCATTTGCAATGCAAACAGGCATAAATATACAAAATAACCGAGCAGGCATATTCGACACAAAAGCATGGGACGTGTTCGAAGTGTGTTTATTTTTTGAATTTTTTTGATGTGTGTGGAGTACTCACTTGTCTTTGGAGGGAATCTAATTCTCGATCCATCGCCTTAAGCATGAGCACACCCGCGTTGCCTGACGCCATCGCAGCCAGATCGTCGTGGTTGATGTACATGCCGCGAGGGGGCTTGCGCTTGTGGCGTCCGCCCAGTGGGGACCCGCGCTTGCCACCCGTGGGCCCCGATGTGGGCCGCAACAATCCCGTTCGTCTGTACATGCCAATATTACACGTTATCGACATACTAGTTCAGTCATTTCATATCATTTCTTCAACTAATAGGCAACTATCAAGCGGATAGGTGGGACCACATCTATGCTCAACCACTGTTTTGTTTTTTTGGCGAGAGACAAGCGCAAAATTAATGTGGTCCTCGGAAAAAATAAATCATGCACGGTGCCCTAATTCACAACTAACAAACACTTGGTAGTGTTTTAAAGGCGCTTCAGTGACATTTCAGTGAGGTATGGGACGAAATGCACATTTATTTTGCGCCCCATCAAACGCCAGAAAGAGACGTGGATTTCTCATTCAAAACATAATTTTTTTAACTATTTATTACTAAAAATTCATTAAAACATGAAAATAATGAGGAAAATTCGCTACATAAATTAAACGGAAACTGAAGCAAAATGAAAAAAGTAATCATTACATAAATTTTAGATGTATTAAAAAATCTCCAACAAAATATTTTGTTAGTTTTTTACTCATGCAAACGTTATGAAGGAGAGAACCCACGTCTCGTGCATAAACAGCTGGGCATTGAGTTGGGGTCTAGATACGTACCTCCAATGTTGGTAGCAGGAATTACAGAGGGACCCCTTGGACGTCACTTGAGTGACGGTACAGGCGACTCCGCAGTTAGAGCACGCGCCACCCTCACCCTGCACACATACAACAATCATACCGACCATATCCCATTATGAAACTAATAAAATAGAAGAGAGAAAACGAACACCCAGTGTGATTTTTTCGTTTTAACATCGTAATACTATACAATATTTGTAAACTATATGCGTGTATGTATGCATGTAATGGATGGAGAGAGATTAAATATAAAACGTTAGCCAACGCACACTGCAGCTCATGCTATAGAGAGGCAACACGGGGTTAGTCGACGTGATACCAATACCCTGTCTCTATTTAAACTGAAATAGGGCAAGATACGTGACCATCGATAACTGAAATGTTACGATGAAATGGAAATGTAATATGCATGATACAGTAAAGCCGTCACATATGAAATGAACTGTCATTATTTTGCGATTGTACTGCTAGGCTGATTGGCGTGCAATATCTATTGAGGGTTCACTACCTGAGTAGCGTTCTCGTCGGGAGGTTGACCCGTACGACTTGGTGAACCGCTTTTACGACGAATGCCACGATGTATTGTCCATTTCTGCAAGATAATCCATTACAGCTAAACCAACCGCCGACTTTTTAGACTTGTTTCAAAACATTGATTTGTTCTCAAGGCTCGGATTTAAAGAATCTCATTTCACATTTATTTCTACTACTGAATAGGATCTACGCCAGCGCCCGGGTCCACCAATTATAGAAACACTTTCCCAAAACTCAGCTACTCTAGTATAAATTATATTCACGAAAAATCTTTTGTTATAACGAGAAACAACAAGCAAAATATTTTTGTATCAAAATCAGCAAAATATTCGTTATGGGTTATTAAATTCTAAAAACTTGATTTGCCATGTACTTAATTAAAATTACACGAAAATTGGTAAAACTGGTGTTACAAAATTAAAATATGTACTTGACTAATTAAACGCTTTTCATAAAAACCTTAAACTCGAATAAAAATAAAATATTTAGCGTAACGGAAATAAACCCAGAAAGTTTCTGATCCAAAAAAATATCAAAACTTTAAGAAAGAAAGGATCAACAAAACAAATGTAACAAAATGAAAACAAGAAAACAGACAAAAAAAAAATATGTAGAAATATTAATGTAAAATAAGTTAAATAAATTATTACAGTTGTGGTTACTCATCTTGTATAGGTACATAAGTACATAATTTTTGATATCAAGAATTTTATTTACAGAAGTATTTTTTTTTGTCAAGAAAAAATAATTTGAATACCTTTGACCAATCACTTGCATATAATGCGATAAAGCAGACATAACATGTATGTGTCATAAATTACTTATCTAAACTACTTGGTATCGTTTTCTTAAGATATATTAAATTTCAGATTGTGTAAATGGTTGCAGCTCAAGATTTTTACAAAAAAATTATAGCAGACTCAAGTGAGAGTGAGAAAGTGTTCCATTCGCAAAACCATAATTACGAGCCTAAATAAAGCTTTAGTACAGCCAGAATCCCTATCAAGCAATTACTGCTATGTCGCCTAAAAATGCACTGATTTAAATCGTTTGAAATAATAAAATTCGACAAATTCTTAACGCTTGTTAATTGTTGAGTAACACTTGGAGCCATACAACAGCTGTAACCATTAAGGCACACTTTACAGAAAAATTAACATACCCTAGCTTTAAAACACAAACCAGTCAAAATTCATGCAAAATAAAGTTTCCTACGTAAATCCAACACGCAACAAATAAACCTAACCTTACCTTTTCATCATGGTCTGATTCTTCATTGGATTCTCCTTCGGAACCAGCCTCTGATGCGCCCCCTTCCTCCTTGGGAGTGTTCAACTTACGTGCCTGTTTGTCCATGAGACTAGTCCTAGACCTTGTCTTTTTCCAACTGTAGTAATACTTGACTAAACTTGCAATACTTTTATCTGGCAACTGTACAAAAAGTTAGATGGGGGCCACCGCAGTATGATTTTTTACCATTTGTCTTATCCTATGAAAGCTTTTGCCGTGGAACTGAAACGCCTGTTCGAATAACACCTTATCTTCAACTGACCATTCATCTGGGAAGGGGGTGAAGTTTGCTAAGTCTAGTACAGCCCTGTCTAAGTCATGTTTGTGCCAAAAAAGCATCCCAAGCGCCTGCTCGCCGTTGTAACCGTACTTGTCTTTGGCTAAAACTATGTAATCCTCCACTGGAATTGAAATATTGTTAGAAGGGAGACACAGACGCGTCATATTGAGACATACATTTTGACTCTGGGATCGACTCAGTTGGTGACCACACAAGTAACGCTCTATCTGCTAATAATTCTGGTTTTCTCTGCGATTCCGGTTGGAGTTCGGGGCAAATGGCCTGGTAGTCTCGCCCAACTCGAATCTTATCTACTGGAACTACAAAAGCAAGATTTCAGACACGCCAGACTATCACTATGGTCAGATTCATAAATTTGAGGGAAACCTTTTTTACGGTTTAAAGTATCTTTTTATAAGAATTCACAAATGAGAAAAAGTACAAGAAATACAAATCATTACTAAAAGAGGCTAACCTGAGCTTTCATCCTCGCTTGTGGAGTCTTGAACGTGACCATTAGGACTTGGTCCTCGACTTCTCCGACCATTTCGGGCATTTTCATTGTTTTTTTCTGCTAGAACCATGTTCGTTACTTCTATTTAAAGCTTCATATAAACAATATAAAATTAATTTTAAGAGAAAACCGAGCTTATGATTCAGCAACACCACAGCTTACTCAAACTACAAAGCGACTAAGAAATCGTCATCGAAGAACCGTAGTTTATCTTTAGTTACTTTCGAAAATCATCACAGCGCTGTAGTCAATGCGTTTTTTCAAAAAATAGACGGTCATTTTTACTTTTTTAGTCAATTAACAATGTAGAAACACTTATCTTAACTTGTCAATTATATATTTATACTTTTAATAGTTTTAAAAACACGATTTCTATAAAACAAAATTAAAATTTTATTTTAGTTTTGAATTTACCGCCGATGCTGGAATTTCCTGTTTTATTTCCTTCATTTTCAAATCATCTATCTTTGTTTAAAGCTCGATTTTTGACATTCATCTTATAACCTTACTTTTGAAAAGTATCAAAATGTCTTTTGTGAATTTATTTATTAAAAGAGGGATTTCCACATCTTGCACAAGGTTCGGCAAACGAAATTTTAGGAAGTTTCCAATATACAACAAACGCGGTTCTAAAATATTTAAAGAAATGAGGAAAGACCCTAATTATGACCTACCACATGACAGTAGGACAATTTTGTTATAATTTTCCTTTTAATAATTTTTTGATTGTAGAGCGTGGCGTAAGAGATGTTGGATATTATGCCGATGATGGAACTTTTGTAGCAATACCAGAAAAAATTCCTGAACTTATTGTACCAGATTTAAAAGACTTTCCTGTAGGTGTATGAAATTTATAAGACATCTATGTGGAACAGTATAGTTTTAGCTCAAGCCCTATGTGTCGTACAGAACTCCCGACGTCATGCAATCAGAATTTACAGCTGAAGATTTGTTCAATGTAGTGTATGCACCAAAAATAGCTAAAGACTTTAAAGAAGGTAAACTGAATGAAGATGGAATGCCTTTGGAACCATCACCTGAGGAGAAAATGACACCGGAGGAGGCAAGAATTAAAGCAGAACAAACTGGAAGTGATATGTTTTAGAATTAATGTAGAATATTAAATTTGTAGATAATAAAACCTTGACGAAAAAACTGACGTATTATTGGTTGCATAACATTTTTATTAAAAAAGTATTAGTTTTGTTCGTCGTTTGGGTTGATTGACAGTAATAAAAGTCTGGGCAATGCCAAAAAATGACCGTTGGGGGAGCGACGAGTCCGCACGTCAATGGAATCTGTATATTTTGGTTTGAAACATTGATAAATTTTTGTATCACTTTCGTGTTTTATGGGTTATATAATAATTTTTTGATTGTAATTTTTTTAAGAACTAGACCAAAAATTAAAACATTTTATACGCAAATATAATTTTATTTATTTAAAAAATAAAGATTTAAATTTGGGTTAGATAGTTATTTTTATTCTTTACAAATTTACAAGAGCATTAACATATTACAATAACTTTTTATTATTTCTTCAAAACTTTGAATAAAAAACACTAGGATTAATTATATTTTCTATTATTTTTCTATTTGGACCTTGGTTTTCAGCTCTGTTTGTCCTAAATGTGCTTTTTTCCTATTATTTCCATCTCAGTATTTGCAATGCCGTAAAATGTATCTTCTGTTCAACAATACTCCATTTTTTCTTTAATGGCCATGTCATCTACAATAAGGGAACATATTTTCTCAACGTTTTTTAAATTATTGCCTTCAGACCATCTTGGCTTTTTTAGGGAATAATTATAAATTTGATCAAGTAAAAACACAGCCCTTGGTTCTAAGTCCTTTGCATCTGACACAATTTTCACTACACAACAATGTTGACCTTTACTGTAAGTGTCAATTTTTTCCTGCATTCTCTTTAGTTTTTCAAGTTTCTTTTCATAAAGCTTATTCAACTTTTGAAATCTTACATTTGCTTCCTGTAACTTTTTGTCTAAATTTTGAATTTCATCTAGTAAGACAAATTTTTCTGCCGAACTTATTGCATCTGAAACATTTTTTAAATCATAATCATGAGTATCACCTACTTTTAAATCACTTTGTTAATCAAAATCAAATCGAAATGGATTTGAAATCGTATAGTTTTTGTCAAATGACTCTGGAGATTGGATACACGGTGCAGGCGTTTCTAACGGCTTACGTTCTGAATTAATGAAAGTGGTAGAGATTACCTGAAAACGAGTAATTCTTTTATGATTCAAGAGCAAGGATGGAACTGCATTTGGTAACAATTTTTTGTTTTTATAATAGCTCGTTATTTCAAAGTGTTTTCCACAAATCATGGAATATGGGGGTATATTGCCGATGGTACCAAATATTCTCTTAAGCCATTCGTTTTTTTGATTTCTACTTTTTCTACTGTCAATCAACGCAGACGACGGTTTTGTTATACTTAATAAAATAAATTATTGTTTTGCATTATTTTAGTTGGTTTGTTTTTTTAATTTAATGAAATGTAAACATCTTAGAATGATGAAACATAAAAGTGAGGTTAGATCGTAATCAATGATGACCTTTTAACCTCCTTCATTTTCGCAAAAATGTCTAACTTTAAACATCTTCTGAATGTGCCTAATATTAGCAAAACCGTTAGTTTTTAATGTGAACAAAAAATACAATTGCTTTTATTATGTCAGACTTTTAGGTTATCCCACAAATCCCACCTTGAGGCCCTGCGAGAACGAATTTTAAACGGCCCTAGTCTCCAAGACTTTATAAAAAGCCCAGACCCTGTCTTAAAAGAAGACACTGAAGCTTGGAAAGACTACAATGGAAGACTTAAAAGAACCAAGAGTGAAAGTTCCAGACTCAGGTTACCCCCTTGGTTAAAAACATCAATTCCTAAGGGAAAGAAATTCAGCGAACTTAAAGAACAGTTGAGAAACCTTAATTTGCATACTGTATGTGAAGAAGCAAGGTGTCCAAATATTGGAGAGTGTTGGGGTGGAGGCGAGCATGGGACAGCGACAGCTACCATCATGGTATAATTTTACAAATCACCGAATTGCAATTAATAAAATTAATAGTTGTTAGGAGACACATGTACGCGAGGTTGCCGTTTTTGCTCCATTAAGACTTCGAAAACGCCCCCACCGCCTGATCCAAATGAGCCTGTGAAAACCGCTTCGGCTATAGCGTCCTGGGGGTTGGATTATATTGTTTTAACATCAGTGGATCGCGATGGTAATATAAAACTTTATAATTTTGTGTTTTAATCGCATTTAATTTAGACTTGCCTGATGGAGGGTCAAATCATTTTGCTGAGACTGTGAGGGAGATTAAGAAGCGGTAAATTTATTGCAATTTGCTACTTTTTGTTTATTGTTTTTTGTAGTAAGAATGAAATTCTAGTGGAATGTTTAGTACCTGACTTTGGTGGTGACCTAAATGCTGTGAAAACAATTGTTGATTCTGGTTTAGATGTTTACGCTCATAATATTGAAACAGTTGAAGCTTTAACTCCATTTGTTAGAGATAGGAGGGCCAAATATAGGTAACAAATGAAACAACTTTTTAAGTTATAAGGTATTTTCAATGATAATTAATAGACAGTCGTTGGCAACTCTTGAGGCTGTTAAAAAATTCAATCCTGATATGATCACAAAGTCGTCGATTATGCTGGGTTTGGGTGAGACTGATGATGAAGTTAGACAAACTTTGGAAGATTTGAAGGCAGCGGGTGTCGATTGTGTAACCCTTGGACAGTACATGCAACCAACTAAGAAACATCTTCTGGTCGTTGAATATGTAACACCTGAAAAGTACCAATATTGGGAAAAAATAGGAAACGAAATGAAGTTTTTCTACGTTGCGAGTGGACCACTTGTGAGGAGTTCCTACAAAGCTGGTGAATTCTTTATTGCAAGTATTTTAAAAAATAGAAAAACAAAAAATGCTGTGTAATTAACTATTATTTGTAAAATATATTAAAGTTGGCCCAAAAGTTTGTTTTTTGTGTTTGGGATTTGTACAAAAATTGTCGGTACTTACAATATTTATTGTTAGTATTTACAATTTTACATACAATTATTTGTTATTCTAAAGTACAATCACACAAAATGCAATTACAATAAATATGGCACATGTAATGATATTAACTACAATCTGTGTCTTTACATAAGTTTTGTTACGTCTGGTTTTTATATCAAAACTTGTGTAGCTTGGACTCTATGACATATATTTAGTAAAGAGTATCGAAATATCTGGATACATGTATAAAATAATAGCAACCATTCAGATCAAATTTATTTGAAGATACTATTGAACCTTTTGCCGTAATCGAAATGCTATAACAATGAGCATAAAAATATATGTACATGAGTAAACTTAACAAAGTAGATTGATTTAATAAGAATGTATTGAAATCAGCGAATATCGTTCGATAAACTTAATCTTCACGGTTGTACATCACTAACACACAAAATTTACAAACAACGGGTTAATCCCCCACAAACGTTTCGAAAGCATCGGTCCATCATCAGGAGATCAAGGAACTTAAGTCGACTAGATTAGAAGCCATATTTTATTATCATATTGGCTCGTTGTTCGCTTAAATAAATTTTGTAATGATAAAACTTTATTACGTATGTTTTTGTGATGAAATCAACGCAATAATTTCATTTTGCCAGTGTTTGATTAATACATTGGATCGATTCGAGTGCAGTGTCTAGTTCACTGGTTTTATTATTACGTTTGGTATTGTAACATTGGTGCTGCTAAATTTGGATGATGCGTTGTGTTCATCCTTAGGGCGGATAAGCTTTTATTGTACCATTCATCCTCGGCGCTCATACCTGAAATAAAAGACAAAAATGAAATTATAGTCTTCGATAAAATTCACCGTGTTGTTTAAGAGGAAATGTGAGCTACTCGACTAAGGAAAGCTTTAAAAAGTTCAGGCTAGTAGGAAATAACGTCGTTTCCGTTCAGATGCACTAAGATTACGGACGGCGGCTTCAAGATGTTTCATTTCCGACACGGGATGAAATTTTGGTCGGACAGTAAAAAGGTTTCATGCAACGCGAAATTTATATCATATAGAAGAAAGCATATTTCAAGGTTTTTTAAAACACGCCGAAAAACGTACAGATATTGGACAACAAACAGATTTTTTTTAGTTTTATTGAAGATAAGTTTTTAAAAAAGTATACGATTCAAATTTGGAAAAAAGTAAAGGAGGAAATTAAAGGATACTCACTCATTGCATCTTGTCTCATTCCTGCTACCGTAGTCATATTTGTACCATGTGACATGGAAAACGACTGTGCCATTCCGGGGTAACTACTCGTCGTCATCTAAAAAGTGCAAAAAACATATAAGCAAATCTTTTATAAAATTTGAGTTTGCGATATTTTAACCAAAAATTATTTGAAAAATTATTCACGTTATTTTGAAGAATTATTTTTGAATTAATTTTGAAAATTAACGTGTGTGTCTTTAAAATTTTTTTTGGATATACGTAATAAACGCTTTGATATTTTAAAATATAAATAATAGTTATTTATGTAAATACAAAGTAAATAAAGAATTATTTTAATGTCGAGAGGCGACTGAAGTGGGCCGAGGTAATTTTCATTCGAAGGATTAACGTTGTTTATTCCACAGGTAAGAGTACATACAAAACTTTCCTCCCAACAGACCTAATTAATAACAACTTAAGAAAATGTCAAATAATTTGTCAAAGTATTCAGTTTATTCAACTAATTTTGAAAGTAAAATAGTTATTTTTGTTGCAAGTACCTAAAATACAGTTTTGCTACTAGGAGTAAACATTTCAAAAACAAAACTACCCCTAACTCAAAAACGAATTCACAAAATATTTTTTTTATTTACGGTTAGATAAGCTTTTTGCCCCCTTTCCAAAAATATTTCAAAAAGTTGAGGTTGCTTTTTAAAAGTTTAAAGTAAGGGTGGTTAGTGACTAGGGGATGAAAGCTAAAACGTATTTTATGTTAGTTTTGAACTCTCCCATCGCAACCCAAATTGACATATTTTCTATTTAACTTAAATTAAGTTGAATCAAAGGCTACTAGGACTAAAAATCTCAAATTAAACCACCCCTAACTGAAAAACAAAAAACAATTTCTTTGACATTTAGATACGCTGATCTTTTCTCTTTCCGAAAACGTTTTAAAAAGTAGGCGGTGTCATTTAAAATTGTAAAGTAGGGGTGGCTAGCGACTAGAGGATGAAACTTAAAATGTAACTAAGTAATGTTGGTTTTCAACTTCCTCCTCGCGATCCTAATCGACCTATTTTTGCTTGAAAATACATTTACTCAATGTCAAAAGTTATTGAGACTGGCTCTTTTTAAATGAAAGCCCTGTATGTTTTATTTCTACATCTTCGACATTTTTTAATTCGAAAAAGTTGTCGGAGACGAAAGATGAAAGGTTTGCAATTAAAGTGAAATCAGAGGAAATTTTGTATTAACGTTTTACTGCTTAGTAAATAATAATAGAAGAATTAAAACGAATGGAATATTTCTAAATTACTGTTGTAGCAACTTATGTTTGAATATTCTATTTGTCCACTAGTGGAATATTCACATCAGTAAAGATATACATTTTGAGTAAGTAATTAAGTTGAAAAATATTTTTTTCTTAACAAAGAATAAAGCGATACTTTATTCTCTGGCGAATAAAATAAATGAAACACTAATTTTTACTTTTACAATWAGCTAGAACCGAATGAATTGAATCTTTTGAGTGTTTTTTAACATAAGCAAACTTCTTGATATCGATTTTTACTCTTAAAATAGCAATTTAATAAACTGAATATTCTGACAAATTTATTATTTTTTATGTTATTATTTATTTAGTCTGTTGAGAGGACAGTTTCGTGTGCATCTCTCGGCTTTTTTCGGTTGCCTCTGACGTTACCTACATTCTCGAAATTAAAATTGTTGTTTAATCTTTTAATACATAAATAACTACCTATTAATTACATTATTTTTAGGTTTTATATCTGTCTTCAAAAAAATTAAAAAGCGCATAATTTTGAATTAGATCTATTATATTAAAAAAAAAGTTTCATTGTTTGTTTTTATGTCTTTTTTATTTTATTAAATATTACATATTTTGAGAGCAATTTTTTTCTGAAGAAAGCAATACACTGGCGGACACGGAATTTTGGACAATTTGTCATTCGACTGACATAAAAATGTAAAACGGGCCTTATTCAACTAACCTCACTTTTGATTTTTATAATTTTTATCCTAACCGCTAGAGAATAAATGACATAAGATCAAAATAATTTATTGAACTTAAATAAAAACATGTATTACTGACATTATTGTTTCAGAAAATCGACGCTAAAAATGAATTTCAACTAAAACTTTAAACTTTTAGTTTCAAACGTCAAACATAATGACAATAGAGCGTGGCTTACTTGAAATGACATAATTTTGATGTCCAAAATTCCGTGTCCACCACTGTATGAATTCAAAAATTTAAAAACGTTTTAGGTTACAAGCTACTAATTTTCTCCTATAATAATATTAATATTATATCACGATACATTTTTTTTAATCTATTGGAAGCAGAAAAGATAAATAAATCTTTTGTTTGTGGTTATTTTGTGGTATCGTATTTTCATGATTTCTAAACAAGTAAACATTCGTTCAAATTAGTAAAAAAATGATGAAGTCGTAGGAATTCATGTTCCAGGTTTAGCGAAAGTAACTTGCGTCATCAGAATTAATGTAGAAAGCATCGGTCTGGAGAATTTAGAGCGACGAAAATACTTCGAATATCTACTTACTAAAAAACATAATTACATTATTGAATACCATTTTTATAAAAAATTTCGTTATTAATTATTACGATTATTTAATTATTATCATAAAATGTTTTATGCAGATAAAAGTTTTTGACTTTTTTAATAAAGAATGGAGCCCGACCTAGTTTCCAGACTTTCATTATTGATGTATAGGAAAAGCTTTGACAATCATGAAAAGCCTAAGGTATCGTCGCCTCATATCAGTCGGTCCGGCGGTCTTTTGTGAATCGGCCCATAACACGAATGGTTTTGCCTACAAACAGCGGCATTTCTCCGGTCTTAATCTGGCCGAGCCGTTTCTAATTTGCAGGGGAAATTTATTTGCATATTATTTGATGAGAGTGGGCCGTCGCTTGTGAGCGCCGCCGCCGTCGGTCTACGACTACCGTCGCTCGGAGGAAATGCGGTCTTTACTAAACTAATCATCTAACCTGTTTGACCTCACTTAATTAATTTACCTGCATCGGCTAATCACACACTGGCACCGTTTTCATTGCTCAAGGTCGGCGGCGGCGGCGAATTAACTCGCGATTTTTGAAAACACGAAACGATTTTTCCTGCGAAAATAGTTCGCTGGAAAATTGAGGGGCGAGATATGCTAACCTGGGGGTATCTGTTGATGGCCGTGGGATGTGGGTAGGGCTGATAGCCTCGCGCCGCCCCCGGGTAAATGTTACGCATCATGGCGCCGTTGCAGCCGGGGAGGACACTGGGGGCTAGGGCTTTCTGTAACTGCTTTTCCTGTTTTCGGTATTTGGCTCTTCGGTTCTGAAACCACACCTGAAACGGAATTTTAACAAATATTAGGTTTTTTAATTAAAATGTATTCAGTGTGAACTCTTCTATAAGGTAGATTATATTTGATACACAGGTTGTTCCAGTTAGATTGGATTTTAATTGGATTGACTTTTGGGTACATCAAAGTTCAAATGTAAAGCGACCCGGTTTGCGTATTTGGGGTTGCATAAATATGATTTGTCGATGCTCCATGCTAAATCGATGCCCTTTCTGGAGCGAATTAACCCATTTCTGGGTGTGTGTTGTGTGACACGTGTTGAGACAAAGGCGTCGGCGGCGTCTGTGCCACAGCTACTTACGGCAACACCGCGTGCAAACAAAAGAAGGCGATAAGGTCGCAAAATATGCATTAGGCTGTCTTAAAGAGAGCCGTGTTTGGGGGAATGAGCGGCGAGGGGTCGGTTCATCCGCCGCCAGGGGGCGGGCTAACTTCATTACGGATCCATTTGATGGGATCGAGGGAGACCGGGACGTGCCTCGCGTCTTCCGCGGTACAGTCTGGGGTCTGGTCTCTCTAACACACGCTTTTGTTTTAACCATTCTAGACATGGCGACTATGTTTTTCAACGTTTCACCAATGGAATCGCGAATTATTGGAGGGGTGGATGGCGGAAGGTTGATAAGCGAGAAAAAACAAAAAGGAAACTTGGAGATTTGAGATATACTCGTATATGTATGTGGTTTGTTGCAAAGTTTCAGGAGGTGTTCATGTTCAATACACTTCACTTGCAATGTATCTGTCTAGTTACACGGGCGGTATTAATGTTCTTGGATGATAAAACTTTGTTAAAAGTTAAAACATTATCATGTTGCACCACTGGAATGTTTATGAAAATTTTATACTTAAATAGAAAAATTGTTGGTGACGATGACAAATCGGAAAAAAATATATACAAGGTTTATTGGTCGAGCACTCTAACTTCAGAAAAATTATTAAAGGCAGATTCTAATGGAGTTTTAAGATTTTCTGAAATCGTTCATAAAGTACTTTTTTGTAATTTGCTTTCATTTTGATTAATTTTAACTAAAATTAAGACATTACTAAACGTCACAACAATTCTTAAATCAATTAATGTAAAAATAAGTTAAAAACAGTATAAAGAAGTCAAATTACAAAAAATACATAGTACTTATAAAAAAACTCGTTTGTAAGACTTTAAATCACAAAATTCTTTAAAATAACTCATAGATAGGCCACTCGTTTTTAAAATTTGAATTCGTACTTCAGGACTGGTAAAGTGAAACTTGTTTTTAATATACTGTACTCACACCTATGTTATTTTAACTCACAACCAACAATACATCAATTTATTTTTAGTGTGTAACGTAATCAATACCGCAGTCTAAACTTATTTTTTCTACGACTTTAATAGAAATAAGTTTTTCCGTGTCAAAATTATATCTAATCAGATAAACAAAAACGCGATTTAATTCGTCACACCAAACTTTTATTTCAAACAACCTCTCAGGTAGGTAAAAATTTTACCTTCTCTATAGAAACGAAAAAATATGCTGCTAGATTTAGGATTTAATGGCAGAACTGGGATATTAAGAGAAATTGTTAGTTTGTAAGTTTTTCTTGCTGGATCGTAGGAAAAATTATATGTATTACACTGTCTTTTCCTTTCTGGGTGGTTACTGCCCTCGACAAATTTTAGGCCGTAATTTTAACCCGTGGGAGAAAAAGATACACTTTCCTCTCTTGTAATACAAATATTTCATATTTGTAATAAAGAAAAAATGATTTTAGTGCTTTCTAATGTGTACAAATAACTATTCTTGTGGCAATTATGGTTTTTGAGAAAAACGTTTAATATTTTAGTAATAATAGTATACCTATTACGAGTGTGTAACTAACTAATGCTGTAAACGCCACTTTAGACATGAGTTTTATTAGGCACGAGCGAAGCGCAGTGGAGCAAGTGTTTAAAAAACGCATATCTAGAGAAGTTTATACACGTGTTACATACTATAATTTTTCTACGACCACTACAAAAAAATTCTTTAATTAAAAATTAAATTAAATGAGAGAAAGCTAAATTCAGCTCGTGACTAATACGACAGTTGCTATAACAACGTATATTAGTCACGGCTTGACAAGATGTGCGTACGTAAAAGGTCACTTAGCGTCATGGAAACATATACGATAATCCGTTTTTTAAATGTGGGAGTAGAACCATATTTTTTAAAAGTTTTTAAGCGATATTTTATGGCAAAATTGTGGCATATGGTATAGGTGTAAAGCCCTTTTCTCACAATATTTTTGGTCTAAATTTTTATAATAGCTACATAGCTATTATAATAATGACTACATAGTCATTTTTATACTACTTTGGAAAAAAAAAAGGATCGGGAATTTTTGATTTAAAGTATTCACGTAGAAGATAGGTATCTTAATAATTCTTGTCTAGTATATTGCTACAACCATACTCTCTTACCAAGCCAGATTTTACCGCTGTAGATCAAGTAGTTGTTTAAAATTGTTTTTACCATAACTTGTGGTTAAGTTCGACTTGCAATTTTTGTAATGATCAGAGAATTTGTTTGAAATTTTGTATTTCTAACGAAAATTCGTGTAGTGAATCTCTGAAAATTTTGCAAAAAAGCTTTGGTGACGCATGTATGTCAAAAACACAAGAATATGAGTGTACAAAACATTTCAATTGGGCGGAAAAGAGGTTACCGACTTTCCTCGTTCTGGACGATCGTCAACAGTAAAGTCGGTGAAAAATGTAAAGAAAATTAAAGAAATGATAACTGCAAATCATCACTTAGGTCTAAGAGTAATATTATTTAGCCGTTGTGAAATGTTTGTAAAAAATATTCTCTGAAAAAGACCAGATTTGTAGAAAGACAACTGGAATGTTGCACCATGACAGTGCGCTTGAACACACAGCACAATTCTGCACAAATTTTTGGATAAAAACTCAACAAATGTCATTAATCAAGCACCGTATTTAGCTAACATGGCCCTATGTGACGTTCTCCCATTTCTTAAACTTAAATTGCCTTGCGAGGAAGGCGTTTTGGGTCCATAAAAGACATAAAACAAAATTCGCAAAAAAACTGAAAGTCATACCTTCCGTTGTTTATAAGAAGTGTTTTGATAATTGAGTTAAACGTTGACATATGCGTGTCGCTTCAGATGGAGTTTACTTTACAGGGAACCAAATAAAAATTGATTAATAATAACGTAGTACTATTTTATTTAAAATTTCCCGGTACTTTTTGTACAGAAGATATATATAAAAAAATTTAATATGTCGATTAGCTTAGAAAAAATCAGAAAATTCTGGGCAGTGGGTATAGAAAATACCTATTATCGTCGACATATGCGGTGTTTTCGAAACTACATGCTACAGGACATTAATATTACTGATGTTTTGACTTCAAGTGGCGTTTTTGTATTATTGGGGGTTCACTCAAGAAATGTAAGTACAACACGTTTTTTTCACTTCTATAAATTTCGAAAAACTGGCTTGCACAAAAAATAATGAATTTGTTTTTGCCCAGATATTGTACGAATTCGCTTTATTAGTTTTGTTATTTTGTTTTAAAGCAAAGTACAAAATCAATACCTATTGGAGTAAAAACATGAGTGTTTTCATGTAACGAGAGTCTCGTTTCTCGTCGCCATTCGCTAATTATAAACGCGCTAACATAATTACGTCGCCATTTCTGTTAGACATCAATAAGGAAAAGTCAGGAAACGGAATTTCCCACAGAAAAATGAAATCAATAGCAAATCACTACTGTTCTCGAATATATTTTTTTTGAAACTTGTAAACATGTAAACGAATCTAAATATTCCCTAGGATCGTCAAAATGGTTTTAATTCGTCAGAGCCTAATGACAATTTCAGTGATTAAATTACTAAAATATTAATGAACACTCAGTGAAAGGCGGTTTTCATTTTGAAAAGCTTTGCGAGGGAAAATAAACGCGTCGAAATTAAAATTCATGCATCGCACTGAGTTGCGACAGTTTCCGTGCATTTGAGAGCATCGCACAACAACATCGTTTTACAAAACCGATTTTTTAAATTATTAGATGCGAGTTGCTTTTTACATGGGGCGACTAATGCATGAGTCACGCCACTCCACTGGGGGGCACTCCACAGTGACAGTTGTGTCTCGAGGGCCCCCTAGCTTAACGAATACCTAATTCAATCAAAGATCCAGCCGAGTGAGCTTCTCTGTCGGGATGCAGTCTGTCATCTCGCCATGTCTTTGATTTCAAGGAGAGGGTCCACCCGAAACAGCTAATTCGATTTAGGGTATCGACAATCCAAATACATAATTTCGCAATTAGATGCTCAAGTGATTCACTGACCTGTATCCGGGCTTCGTTTAATTTCGTACTCCTAGCTAGTTCTTCTCTGCAGTAGATGTCCGGGTAGTGGCTTTTGGCGAAGGCCGCTTCTAGTTCAGCGAGTTGTTCTTGGGTGAAGGTAGTGCGGTGTCTTCTTCGAGCTGGGGTGGGACAGGAGGCGGTGGTCGGGGTGTGGCCGGTGTGCTGAGGGCCGCCGGGGGACACAGTGCCCAAACTGTTGCTACCAGTCGTCGTTGGTTCCGGTTTCAGTTTTTTAAAAGCACCATCTGTAACAAAACGACAAGCAGTTTTAAAATTGTAGATACTACGACTTTTGTAACTCGAATCAGTTGGAATTTTTGCTCTAATTAAAGTGTAATCAAAGAAAGTTAAGACTAGAGTGTAAAAACTTAGTTTCAGAAAAGCTACAGTGTTTTTAAATTGATTTAATTTCGTCTCATATTACTCTCATTGCGATGTACATACATATATTAACATTATGTAAAATCTTTGAAAACTGAAACACTAATGAATAATTAAATTAATCTAAATTAAATTAAACATTATCTCGTTCCTTTTTTCCAAGAAAAAATTAATAAATAATAATAAAAAAATACAAAACTGATTAATGTACCTAAATATGTATAGGTACAATATAAAGTGTAAAGAAAATAAATAAATACAATTAATTCGAAATAAGTAAAATTGGTGTATGCAAAACTAAATGGTTTCAAAAATTAGTCATTATTGATGGTTCTTGATTTTTTTTATAAATTCTCAGAAATATATGTTACAAGTACCTAAAATACAGTTTTTGCGGCCAAATCGTTGCTGTTCTCCTTGAAATCAATGTTGAGAGTGAACAAATTATTTTACAAAAAATTGTATTTTTTTTTATAGGAAATTATTTCAGTTTCAGAAAAGCTTCAGTGTTTTTTATTTGATTTAATTTTGTCTCATTACTCTCATTGCGATATACATACATTATGTAAGATCTCTAAAAACTGAAACACTAATGAACAATTAAATTAAAGATTGTCTCATTCTCTTTTTTCTAGAAAAAAATCAATAAATAACAGTAAAAAAATACAAAACTGGATGTATACATGATTGTATACATACAATAAAAAGTGTAAAAAAATAAATGAATACAATTAATTTGAAATAAGTAAAATTGGGGTATGCAAAAGCTGAATGGTCTCAAAAATAAGTCAGTATTGGTTCTTGATTTTTTTACAAATTTTCAGAAATATAAAATTAGTTATTTTTGTTACAAGTGTCTAAAATACAGTTTTTGCGGATGAATCGTTGATGTTTCTCTTGAAATCAATGTGGAGAGTAAACATTTTTTTTTTTTTAAATTGTAAAATGTTTTTATAGGAAATTTATTTTAGTTTTTGAAACAATCTTTACATTCTCTGAGCGGTTATTGGTTGTTGAGATGTCGATAATCAAAGACAAAAAGATTCTTTTTCATTAAAAGTCAATTATCTCAGCGAGAAATTGAGGTAAAAAGAAATTAAAAAAGGAAATAAAAGCTGAATGATTCGGCTATCTGGTTCATGCATTGTTTTAACTAATAAAAATAATAATAATAAAAAGTCCGTAGACCAAAAAAAAAATTTTACTATTATTGTTCTTCGCTATTTCTTAGAATTGAGTAATAACCGTAGTTCGGAAAAGTTTTTGCCAAATGGACTTAAAACTACAAACTTGAGGATTCAAAACGGTTTTTTCTAAATCTAGATACAACCATTTCTCCTTGAGGTACAGTTTTTCAAAAATCATCAAAAAATTAAGAGAACAAAAAAATTTCTTAATTTTTTGATGATTTTTGAAAAACTACCTCAAGGAAAAATGGTTGTATCTAGATTTAGAAAAAACCGTTTTGAATCTTCAAGTTTGTATTTCGGCAAAAACTTTTCCGAACTACGGTTATTACTCAATTCTAAGAAATAGCCCAAGAACAATCATTGTAAAATTATTATTATTAAATTGTAAAAAATTAAGAATTTTTTTGTTCTCTTAGCTTTTTGAAATATGTATAGTACTCGTATATAAAAAGTTTGAGTAAAATGTTGTGCCGTTTTGAAGTATTTGAGGCAATAACAAATCTTTTTTCAAAGTGTTTTTCACCGAAAAGCTTAATTTTGAATTAATTTTAAAATTCAAAAAAGAAAACAAAATAACATAAACGATGAATTTGATCTATTTTTTTGAAGAGGAAAATAGAATAGTAGAAAAGGACAACTTTAAATTAAAAGTGATTTTAAAGAACGCAACGTTACTAAAACAGATGAGAATAAATACAAAATTCTAAATAATATTAAAAGTTGTTGTTATTTTTTTTACCTTATGCAAGAGTACATTATGGGTGCTTAAAAAAATACAAAAAATTAAAATTAAAAAATTACAATGTAGTCGGCGCCTGTGATAGTAAGACAAATTAAACATTATTTTTAATGGAACTCTTAGAAATTTTAAAATATTTAGTTTTTGGAATTATTAGTATTTACAGAAAAATTGTTGTCAAAATTTTGGTAGTTTTGACACCGTTTTGACGACTTTGGCATAAGCACAACAAATGTCATTTTTGGCTCAAAGACAAAATTTTTGGTAAAAACAAATTCTTGTACCTAATTATGAAAGCTGCCGGAACCACCGGTGGGGGTAAAAAACCTGAACATTACCCGACCCGATTAATGTCAGTTATCGGCGACGAAGACACTTGTGTAGGCTTCATCATAAGTGGAATCGGAGAAATAAGTAAAGACCGTGAAACCAATTTTCTGGTAGTAGACGATGACACTGATCCTGCTCAAGTCGAGGAATGTTTTAAACGATTTATAAAAAGAAAAGACATTGCTATAATTTTGATAAACCAACACATCGCCGATATGATAAGAAGCACTGTGGATGCCCATAGTAATCCAATTCCTGCCGTTTTGGAAATTCCTTCAAAGAAAAGTCTTTACAGTCCCGAAAAAGACTCGATTTTGAAACGGGCAAGGCGGTTGGTGTCTCCAGACGACACGGGTTAATATTCGCTAATAAAAATTCTTTTTTTGATTTGATTCCTCTTTGCTTTGAAACTACGGATACAGACCGCATGTCTTCGTAAGCAATCACTCGATTACAAAGCTAACATGTTTTGTTTCCATTTACTTAACTCTGCAGCTAAGTGCTAAATGGGTTTAGTAGGTACTTGCGGCTGTAGAACCAAGTTCGCATCGGTATCAAAGCGGATTCGCATTTCGACTATGCAATCCATTACTCTGTATGTAATAATAATTATGCATGCATGCATTTGGCGCTTCGATTAAACGAACAAAGTCGTGCACCTTTCGCGTTAATCCTCGTCATACCTAAAGTGGTAAAGTGGCCGTCGAATTATGTAAATATTTGAAAACGGCGGCGGGCCAGAGAAAGAGCCGGGGTGTATGGGTCTCGAGCGTTGAGTAACTACATTCAGTTGGGAGTAATAAGATTGTGTGAGATTCTTTGTGGCGCGCGCCGGTGTCAGTAATTGTAATTAGGTTGGTACTAACTGCATTAATAAACAGTAATGAATTCAATAAGGTTTAGTTGCCGCCGACGCCGTTTGCCGCCGTTTGTCGCCACAGACACCTGTGTCGTCTTCAACCTGATCGTCACGTGACCACAAAGACGACCTCCGGAGCCCCAGAGCCAAAATCAAACTCTCAGGACCTATTTCAAAAACCTTATCTAAAACATCGTCTAATGTTGACTTTACTATTGCGATGATAATGTTAACTTTTCATCCCTAGTTGCAAAACGTCACTTTTTGGTCAATTCTTCGTAGTGATAGGGCCGTACCCTCGCGTTTTTCATCACAATATGTCAAATTGAGTGTAAACCGGTACATTGTGAGGCTGACCGTGGCATCTCTATTGTTAGACTGCATATGCTATACGGCCTAAGAGGAGTAAATTGACACTTCATTAGGACACCCCGAGCGCCCATTATAGGCCCATATGTACACAGAAGTATTACAACGACCCCTGCGTCTACTCATTCAATACAATGAAGATTATAGGGTAAGGAGGATTTTGGTCTATGACAGGTGCGATTGTGCTGCGAATAATCATTTAACTAGTTTGGTGTTGATTGTGAATATAACTAGACAATTTCTACATCAATTAGTGTTGAAACTTATTGTCGTGACAAATTTAGATTAAAAGAAATTACAATCTTGCAAAAGTACGTAAATTAATAGAAATGTAACTGACGGTTTAATTAATATTGCGGAAGAGATGAAAGCGAATTATAAAATTATTATTGTTAGAAAATGAATTTCCGGGTTTCATAGGAATTTATTTAGACTACAAAAAATGCCACAAGTTTTAATTTATTATTAGGAAAGTGTGTAACTAAATTTTTATTGAACGAGTTGTCGTTGCTATTATAATTAACAACATTTTATTACCTTGTAATTTAACAATGCGTTTTTATTTCATTATTGCTTTAACATTTAATTGAAAACTCTTTGTTAATATTATTATTAAAAGGCTAAATGAAAATTAGAAATAAAGTCATATGAAGCAAAACTAAATGCTAAGATTAATTAAACTTGGTTTACCGCGCTTCAAAATGCTTTAAAACCGAATTTTGTTATTTTTTAACAGTATGAAGAAATAGATATTTATGTAACAAGGAAAGTAACAATGTAAAAGGCGAAGGCATTGTAATTCGAGGTATTAATGATGTTTATTTCAGAGATGCATACAAAACTTTTCTAACAGACTAAATTAATAATAACATAAGAAAATAATAATTTGACAAAAGTTGTAAAATAATTTGTTAAAATAATGAGTTTATTCAGTTGCAATTTTAAGAGCAAAAATCGGTATCAACGAGTTAATTAATATTTTATTTATTTTATCCTAAAGAACAAAGTACTAGGGAATAAAGCGTCACGAGGAAAATATACCGTGCGATCAAAAAATAAATAAATTACAGTAGGCGTCGATTAAATTCTACAGTTGGCAACACATTGGCTGGGAATCTGGGCACAAACTGAAAGTGAAAATGACCATCCACCGTTTTTCTCTTGTACAACAATAAAAATTTTCTGCTCTAAAGTGAACATTATTTTACTTAAAAGGAATAAAACGCAAACTTGTCAAAGTTTTCGCTGGCATTTGATGTCAAAAATCAGGATTGCCATCTAAAGGACTTTAATCACCGCCTACTCTAATTTATTTATTTTTTGATCGCACGGTGTTACGATATACATCTCCTAAGCCTCTTACAATAAAGTTATGTGAATAACTCTAAATAATTCAAAAATGTATTATTTTGAGTTTGTTTGATTAGCTTATTAATAGATTTTGTCAAATTTTGTGTAAGTTATAAGCTTGTAAATGTGTAATTTTTACTGGAATTACTATTGTGCAATTATTTTTGGAATAATTAAACGAATAAACAAGAAATAATAAGTGAAAGAGATGTTAAAATAGAACATTACTTCTTACATTCAGAAAAAAAGTAAACGCTTTTTAGTGGAAAATGTCTTTTACCACGCACTATTTATTACAAACCTGTTTATTTTCTTACATGTGGTTATGATATTCTGTAGAAAACACAGTCTGCTTTGTATTCGTCTAGACAAAATTTTTAGCAAAACAAAATTTATTTTTATAGCTAATAGTACAATGTACAATGCAAACCTTTATTCAGTTTAGGGTGGTCATATTTTTTTTTTGTTTAATTGTTACTGCAGCAAATATTTTTTAGAAGAGTTATGATAAAAAAAACATTTGACTAATTTGTTTAAACCGACTGCTGCCTTCTTTCAAAGCATTATTTATTACAATTTTTTAATTAACACTTTTTGACAGATTTTAGTTAACGTTAGTGGTTTTATATTTCTAATAAAATTATTAATCTGATAAAAATATAATAGCATATTAAAAAACAAGTGTTACAAACAATACGAGTAGTTTGTGACATGACCCACGCAATGACGAGTGTTACAAATGCATGAGTATTACAATGAGAGGTTGTAACATGCATTTTTTATATTATTTTTTATTGAGCGCTTTTTAAACTGAATTTATTATTCTATTTGATAGTTAAAATTGATGACATTTAACCAAATCAATTAAAAATTGTTCAGATTGCATTAATATCGGTGAAATATATTGGACTTCAACAATTTTTCACTTAAGTGTGCACACACAGTGACGGCAAAAATACGACTATGACATAAAAACACTGTCACAAAGAAAACAGTTGCACAAAATACTTATTGTGACATTGAAATAGAAAATACATTTTAAAATTGTTGATTTATTAAATTTTACAAAGAATAAATTATTATTAATTAATTTTTGCCCGGCGCATCCACCAAAATCACTGCATCTTACAAGAAGAATCTTGTAAGACTCTGCTTAAACAATACAAATCACAACATTTGCTCCTGTTTGAGTTTAGAAAACTTGTGTTTATCTTGATTGTTGATGAAATTCGCATTGATTAAGCTCGCCTTGGCCCCACAAATTGCAAATCTGGCAAGATCGCCTAATTCCATTTGCGTGTAGGCTTTTTAGCGTCGGTTTGCTGTTTATGAATAATAATTTTAGTACCTGTATGATCCGTGATAGACCTCGGGGCCGCCGGCGGCGTGTGGGCTGGCGTGTGTGGGTGGTGCTCATGCGAATGCGGTAAACCGCCGTAAATGGCGCTGAAGTCCTCCGCCGACGAGCCACTTGTGTTGCATTTCCTCGCCGTCCCCTTGTCACCATTACTACTACTCGAACTCATCAAATGGCCGTGGTGTTCTTCGAGCAGTCCCCCGACTCCCAACAAGTTTCCAACACCCACCAAGTTAGGTCGGAGCTCTTCCATCATCGATTTGGATTGTGGACACGCGTTAAAGTTAAGCTGCCTGCTAAAGATAGCAGGGAAGATGTTGAATTGTTGATGCGAGATGTCGTCGGAAGACGAAGTTGGTGCTGAGGGGGCCGGCGAACTGCCTAATGCCCCCAGGCAGGAAGAAACGCCTTTGAAATCCAACTTGGTGGTTGCTTAGACTTGGGGGGATTTCGCGGTCATTGAGGGACCTACGACACGGGGGAGTCTTTTACAAACCGAACGCAAAAATCAACGTTAAACAAAACGGGAGGAAACTTAAATTAAGGCGGACATTTCCGATTGCGAAGCACTGGAAGCACTGTCACGACGTTTTTCTCTTCATCTGAAAAAAAATCGTAAGGAAATATTTTAGGAATCTCGTTATTCTATTATTAAATATGTATTATTACAAATAAATTAGAGGAATTTGTGGTTTGCTTTGAGAATTTATTACTATTTTATTAATTTATTAATTTAGTAGAAAACTTTTGTAATTGTTTTTCGTAATTTCTTGTATTAACAATGTCTTAAACTGTCAATAACTCTGGCTTTTTGTTTATAGTAATATTTGAATTAGACCTGGAGGAATTCTTTAAAATTATTAGTGACTATTTTATTTGTTTTATTTTTGATAATTCAAAGTACCTACAATAGTAAATTTATTTGGATTTTATGGGTAAAAGAATCGATTTATTTAATGTTTGAATAAAGAAGTTGCATGTATTTAATTTTATAGTAGTAATAGTACAATAAAAAGAATAGACATACAAATATGTAAATAATTAAATATTGAAATAATTAATTATTAATTAAGTATTAAGAACGATAAGGACATTTTACCGATCGAAGACAATTATTGTCTGAGATCGGTAGTCCTTAACGTTCGTGATGTTTATAACGTTTTTTGCACGATAGAAACATTTTTACGTAGATCTGAACTAATTATATTTGAATAAAAATGTCAATTGTGTCATTTTATTTTTACCTAAAGTGTCGCCAATGTTTATAATAATGTTTATGATATTAATAAATGTTTTGTGGATTTTATCTGATTAATGTTTGAAACTACTTACCGTTTTAGAACGGTAAGTAAATTACTTACCGTTTTGTTTATCATAGAAACCAGTAAATACCACATACTGATCTCGAAACAAACACGGTAACTAACTACTGGTAAAAGCGTTCTATCGTGCAAAAATATTAATAAAATCTGATAAATCACATCATACTTGTGAAGCGACGGTTATGTTGTCGACTAGATTATATTACTAAACGTCAATTTAATTTATTTTTTTGTTAAAATAAAATGTTTTATAAATATGTTGTTACTCTCTCTACTTACTCTACTAGCAGTCAAGAAACATTGTCTTTTTTATAAATCTTAATAGATGTTTTCAGTAAATTGACATGTTTTATAGAAAAATAGATGTATAAAGTCTTTTTTTTTAATGTAATTGTCAAACGATAGTCTTTAACGTTGGCACCACTGGCAAATTTATTATATTTCTTTATTATTTATTATTTCTGGAAAATTAACTTGTTTTATTGTAAAATAAGTGTTTAATAAGGACTGCATAGTTTTATAAACTTTTAACAATTTATTTGTTTTTGTAATTAATGTTATTTTAATAAGAAAAAATATTTTATATTAAGTAATTTTTGCCTGACGCATTCACCAAAATTTTAAAATTAGTTTTTGGGATTGTAAAATAAGTGTGGAATTTTTCAATTTTTTTAAATTTCGTTGTTTTATTAATAGTTTTTAAAACAAGAGTTATACAGACAGTTTAAAAATCAAGGTCGAAGTTTATATTTCAGCGACCGTTGGAGAACGAGATTCTATTATAATAGACAGAGATTTTTAAACTCTAAATTTTGTGTTGTTTTCAAAATTTTTTCTAACATTAATAGTGGATCGCAAATTTTATTAAATTTAGAAATTGTTATATAGAAATTTGTCAAAATAATGTCAACATTGACAAAATGTCTAGATAAGTGCAGGTACTATATGTACTTATAAAATACGATGTGATTGACGTATTTTATAGTAGAGCGTCTATTAACGACGACATAAAAGAAACAGTAGAAGACATTAGTGTTGGAAAAAAGAATTTAATTTATTAGGTATTAATTTTTGCTTGGCGCATCCAACAAAATTTTATTTTTATTCTAGGATATTTTAAAAACAGTCTCTTGAGAAACAAATTATTAGCAGTAATATATTTTTTTTGAAGATTTATGAATTCTGTTTACAAGTACATGTTTATATGAAAATGAAAATAAGCAATTAATTTTGGTGTAAGTAGTTTTTTTATTGTTGTTAGTCGTATAATTTTTACTCCATCATATTTTTCTTTATATTGAAGTATTATTTTTTGTTGCATTTTAATTGCTATTAAGACAAAATACGATATATTGATAACAACAGGCATTTAATAAATTGGCTAAATTTTTATCTTAAAACAATTAATTGGTGGCAGAAATTTTTTGATTAAATTTAACTGATGTTGACAAAAAAAGTTTATTAAATAGTGTTGTAGTACTCTTATAACGTTGCAACAATAATAAAACAAATGCTATTGTGTAGGTATATTTTACATTAGTAGGCAGTCAATGAAATTATTTAGTGATGCGTTTCAAAAACTGAAACCTCGTAAATCCAATTGTAACATTTTAGTAATTACCTACAATTCAATTTTTTCTGGTTTAACCGTATTTTAACAGTGAGTTAGTATCAATCAGTGGTGCCAATCGTTTATAAACTCTCGATGAAACTAACTTAAAAAACATAATCTAGTTTACCACATTAATATAAAATGTCAAATTTTTAATATTTATTTACTACATAGTTATATTTTAGAATATTTACATTAAGTTATTTCAGATGAAATACAGGGTTGCTAAAAAGTATGGATACAGCTAAATATTTTCACAATGGTTTAACAGAGCGCGTTGAAATTTGAGAAACAGTTTATCTATTTTTTGGTCAAAGTTCAGGCGACAGATAAAAACAACATTTCCAAGACTAGGAAAAAAATAAATTTTTCAAAATTTATTTCGATATTTTTTTTTAAATAAGGTATGCATGTGTTAGATCACAGAACTCAGAAAAAAATGCTCTTTTTAAAAATATTAAATTTGACTCTTCTTGATATTAAAAAAAATCAAGTTAGCGTTGTATCCCTAGAATAAATGGAGATAGAAATTCGATAAATATCTGACGTCCTGGAATTTAAATACTTTTAAACATATACCAAATTTTAAAAAGTTTTGATGAATAGTTTTTATAATATTTAACTGTACTCATACTTTTTAGCGACCTTGTATATGTGACAAAGTCTGAAAAATCACAATTTTAGAATATGTGTGTTCCTTTAGGTATATTCTCTGATATTTTCATAGTGCGTTTATTAAAATAAATAATAAGTAAATAACTTTTTAGATTTGTAGTTTTGTTAATTAATCAAATATTACATACCTATTCGTGAACCAAAACATCACTTTATCAACAAGCCCAGGGTCCCATATCCACTCAAACTAAACACTAGCTCTCACTCAATCACAAACAATTGACTACGCGTTGATATTGTTAATATCTGTGACTGATTTAATTAAATTTTGGAGCTGAGTTAACTGGGATCCAAATATGACTAGCTTATGCCTAAGCCAAACACCAAGTGAATATAACAACATTAAATTGTGATAGCCTTGTTCTGTTATCAGAGACTTGCTCTCTGAAACATCCCCGACGCACTCAACTTTTTTTATCTCCCTTTCACACACCGTGATGACTGTAGGAAAGCTTTCAGCGCGAGTCGACGCGAGCTTAATCTCGAAAGCTCCGTGGATACTTAGAACTGGCGAATGGTAGCGGTCGCGTGCGAGATTTTCGGTTGTGATTGGTCCGGATGGGGTAGAGATACCATGGCAACACCAATCAGAATCAAGATGCAGCAAAATGGTGGAATATATGTCCCGAGGCAGTTGTTCGATTTTTATATTTTGACACAGAGCTTTCGTCGTTTTTCATATAGAAAAGTGTTGTGTTCTCTGCGAATGCCTGCTTGAAAGAGGAGTCTAGTTTAGATCGGGGATGTACATGACGTTATGCTGCCGGCCTTGGATAATAAGCCTTATTTATAAAGGGATGATTCAATTTTATCGCGAATTTAGATGGTAAATAAATGTACGACTATTTCGTTGGGATCTATCTCGTTAATCGACATTCTTCATCTTGCGACAAATATATTCTCGTCACGATGTTTTTTCGCAGTTTACATTTTACACGTTTTTTTAAAATAAGGTTTGACGTTGTTTACGGAAATATGGACGGCGATTTTATACAAAAGTGTAAGGCATAATTAATAAAATTATCCAATTTGTTAACCTTTTAAAGTTTGAATGCACTGAAAGAAGAACTTAGAAAGTAAGCTTTGTTTGGGTCATGCACTCTATTTTCAGGCTCTAGGTAATTAATTTAATTATTAATTACGTTAATTGGAAACTTTTAAAAACCAGAAAAATTAAATCCAGGCACAAGAACGATGTTATCTGCTAGTCAAAAATAGTTGAAAATGTAATTAAAAGGACTACAGGTTGTTCCACGTAAAATTTTGTTGTAATATCTACTAACACTAATAGGTAAGTATTTGTTAGATTGTAATTTCAAGTATTGACAAAATTAGTTTTTCTATACACTAGTGAACAAAGCAAATAAAAAATCTGTACCTACTAGACATTAATTTAAGGGCTCATCTTTATCACTGGGTTTGTTGAAGTTGAATTTGTTTGTTGTTTGTTGTTTGCTCAAAACGCAACTAAAGAATTTAAGTGTTGCAAAAACCTGTCCTCTCGTATATTTAGTGGCGTATTTATGGGGAGAACACAGGGGGCTTGTGCCTCTTCTTCTGCTTCTTGCAATAAATATAAGCATCAAAACAAGATAAAATGTGTTTTACTAAACCTGATAGAATGAGATTGCATAAAATAGAAATAAGCAACTTTTGTTGTAAAAATGTGGAGCTGCCGGCAAAGTAGGTACTTATAGGGTTTTTTATTGTGGATTGTACTGCAAATTTTATGTTTACAAGTAAGGCAAATTTAAATAACACTAATACGAATAAAATATTTCAAAGCTCAAAAGGAATGAGCGACTTTAAACTTTAAAATCTTAGTGAAAGCTTTTTTCTAATTTTAGAAAATTATTTGAATACTTATTTAATTTAAAGCTTAAATTACACGCAAATTACATATTAAAACTCTGCATATTCTGACAAAATTCTTCAGGGTGCGCTAGAACTCGCGTCCCAGAGAAGAATTTCAAATAAGATAAGATACCACAAACATGGGAAAAATGTCAAAAAAATTTAACAATTGCTTTTTGAAATTTGACATTTTTTGTCTATTTAATGATACTGATGATCTTATATATGTTTTTTATAATTATTTAGTAAAGGTACAAAAATTTTGCCAATAAAAGCCACAAATAACATTAAACAGAGTTACAATTTAGGATACAGCTTCCTTTTTTCTCTTGTATAATAACCTGTAGCAAAAAAACTTGGAAAATTATTTTTCCACAGAAATAAATAAGTAGAGTTAAAGTGCAAATTTTAAATTCTCATAACCTCGAAATTTGTATAGATAGAATTTTTTTAACATTTTCTCTATGTTTTTGGTACTAGTATCTTATCTTACATTTTTCTCTGGGGCGCGAGTTCTGGCGCACCCTGTATAGACAATAAATGGGTATGCGTGGACAAAATGATATTAGTTTTTACCAAAAGCTTATTAAACGAATTTTTAGAATTAGTAAACCATTTTAACAAAATTATACAAAAATATTGAAATCATTAACTTTGAAGACAATAAAATCAAAGATCTTGGGAAAAATAATAAAATTACGAACACTTTTGTATATTTGGAACTGAAAAAAAAAACTCAACCTCTAAAATAAATGTTGGTTGGTTTAATTTCGCAAAATTAAACGTAATAACTAATGATTAATTGACATGAATTACTTTTCAAAAATAACATTTTCAATCAATGTTGACTATGGTCGGGTCCGTGACATAGGGCTTAAAAACGTTAGATTACGCTTTACGAGAAGTTATTTCTAAATGCCTGCTGCTTAAAAACTTATTTTTAATAAAAGTCAATTTACTTTATTATTTACACCCATTATAACTGGTGTTTATTATTGTCTGGAATTTAGATTAGATGAGGCATAAGATATTTAGTAAAAGAATGTTCGAGAAATTTCATTTTACAGATCTCTATGTTCTTGAACGCCTGGTGAATTAAAAGTGTTTTTTTCTAAACGTGTTGGTCCAATTTTGTCCTTTCACTTTGGCTGATTGGACCGAAACATCAGAAGGCGCGTCGAGCATTTGTCGAAATTTTGCGTTCGTTTGTATCAATTGCTGAAAATTAAATTTTCGATCCCATCTATTATTAGGTTCCTGCAGTGGGATGTTCCCAACATCTCGGCAATCAGTGACTGTATTAATGACAGCTTTTGAGTCACGTGTCCTTCACGTGTCGTCACTTTAATGACACGTGAACACACCGCTCCCTTGCAAATATTTATATATAAAGAATTAAAGTGTTCCACCTACTCTATTCAGCCAATTTTATAACCGACAATCGCTCAATCAAAACATTTCAAAATACCGAGCGCCACCTTATAATTAACTTAACTGAAAATAAGTCATTGTTGCTAAAAGTGTGTGAATGAGGCGAACGGGGCTTCCACTCTATAATTATCTTATCACGTGTCGGGAGATTCGTTAAATTAACACCTTTTTTGTGTTTTTTTTTCGAGTCAGTATTGATCTATAGTTATTGCTGGGTTAAGTAATTAATGGTTTTGAAGAAGTTGGAGAGTTGTTGGGAACTTGCGACGAGATACAGTAAGTTTGTAATTGCAGGAGATGATGTTTAATGACTTTTTAATGGACGGCCGACGCTGGTGTCTCTTTCAACTTTCAAGGGAAACTACTTTTGAGCGGATTGTTTAGATTGAATTTCCGAAGATTCTTAAGATTTTCAAGAGTGTTTGTCCCTTCGATAATTAGATTACGTTCGAAAAGCAAAGGCTGGCCTTTTTACGGATGTGTAATTATCCCGTGTGTGGACACCCTCAAAACTGGACGAGAGCTTCCGGCGATGATGGAGAAAAGTAATCATTCTTATGCTCCGAGCTGTCATTTCAGCGCACCAATCAGAACGTTTCCTTCGCATCCCCTATCACAAATAGGACAGGAAGACCATGGACTCGGCACTAATCGGTGAATTTTCTTCTGTATCGGAGGGAAAATTGCAAATCGGGCCATTAAGGTGTGAAAAATTTACAACGAGAGGATGGAAAAACGTAACAGATGCGTCAGGGATGTCATGCTGAGTCCATCTGATCACAATCGACATCAAAAAACCGACTTGAATCTATTACCATTCATTTCAATTTCAAATATACGCATGCTGATTTCGACGGGGCAGCCCTAATTTTGCCATTCTCGCCCTTAACAATGCACGCAAACTACTTTTTGCGCTTTTGCGCCCACATATCGAGTCATTAAAGTTTTTTTTCTCCTTAATTGAACAACAAACAGATGCATGCTGCTATTTTGTGATAAATTTCTTGTAATAGCTTGAAAATTGTCTTAAAAATTCTTTGTGGCAGCAAATGCGAATTACACAAATGCGTGCAGGGAACATACAGACATATGGTAAAAGACGAGGCTGTATTGTCGCATTTGAACGTCCTGAGGCAATGCAGATACCATTTCGGATTTCATGTGATGGTGGGCTTGACAATAAAGTGAAGCTTTACGAATATGTACCACATTCGCACCCCTTTCATGTCACGTTAACATTCGGCTTTGTTATTATAATTTAAGAGAGAAATCCTCGCGTCTGAAGTCGGCGACGAGAATAATTAACCGTGTATTAATTCCCAACTTACGAACTCAATTAAAAATCTGTAACTATTTGAAATCGGTGATTAGTCTGATTACCATCAATCTGATTATTGCGATAATCTTGATTAAAATTGGCGCTAAAGTTTTTATCATGCGGTTGTGGGTGGAACACGGATGCGGAAAAATATTAAAAGGCTTTTAATTTAACATAAACACTGAAAGTCCTAATTAAAATACTTTGCCAAAATTTTAATTATTTATCTGTCTCATGCATTATTTAGACATCTTGAGTTAACGACTGAAAAGCTGAAACTTTACTAACTTTCTTGCTCTGATACAGAGCTTAATTTGCTTTAACAAGGAACAGGATCAAGATTAAAAGCACGAGGTGGAATCAACCCATTTTTATTATTGCGTTAGGGCATTCACTTAACTCTTCACCGAGGCGAATCAAGGTATTTATATTTAATAACGCTACCCAAATTTCCTACTAGGCTTTAAGTAAGTACCTACTTTGTGTTTTTGTGGCATCTATTGAATACAAATGAATACAAATTTGAAATCTGGTTTATTTTTTATTGAATGAATTTTGAGAAAATCGCACTTAATGTTTTGAAAACGTTTGCTTTATTGTTTTTG